TTGAGCGGTGAAACCCTGCACTTTGAAACCTCCATCAAGCCTGAAATGCAGTAGCCAAGGGGATGTGGCGTTTGGTGGCAGCCTTGGGCGTCTCCCGCTCAGAAGATTTACTGGCCGGTAGGGCCCGAATTCCCTCATTCCCTACCAAGAACCACCCTAAACCCTAAACCCTAAACTCAGGGGGTAAAGGGTTTTGGGGCTTTTGGGTCTCTGGGAGTTCAGGGAGGATGGGCCTCCACAGTCGGGTATCCAGATCGTGACCCCATGCATTTTCAGGACTCTTTCCCAATGTGTTGTTTAAAGGGTTTAGGGTTTAGGGTTTAGGGTTCAGGGACGCTTTATAATTCTGCTTTACTTGGCAGGCATTGGCCGGTTCAGGGCGTGGGTTTGCTGAGTCGCACCGCGGAAAGCAGAATCGGCTGCCAGGCGTGCACTCTGAATTTGGTCATGCGGCAATATCTAACCAATCTAACCCACTGAACGTCACCTCTCAAGGTGCACCCGGTGCTCCCCTGTCCGCCTTTGGATCGGGTGGACGCAGCAAATGTAGGATTCATCACTGTGCGTGTACGTATCCCGTTTAAACTCACTGTGTGTGTGTAATTGAGAGCTTGAACTATACTAAGCCGTATGACAATGTATGCGGATAAGACTACATTCCTGAACATCCAAAGCCCCTGTGCTGTAAACAAAGCCCTTTCCCAGAACTCATCGCAACCAGAGGAGCTCATTCCCCTGAGTTATGGCCCTTATTTGGGGTGGGACCAAAAGCTTTCCAAGTAGGTTGCGTAGGACTGTAGGGCTTCAGCGCTTAGGGGGCGGCAGGCACCTTGCAAACCACAAGCCCCGAAACCTGGGCACGGAACCACGCACCTAAACCCTAAACAACCCTGGAAACAGAGAGGCCCCGGCCATCGCTGCTGCCACCCTCCCATCCGCGATCGAAAAGGATGACGAGTGCCAGGACGAAACGTCGCCTGGCTTATCTGCTGTCTTTTTCTTTTTTTATTTTGCGAGCGTGTGTGGTGTTTCCAAGGCACGCTGTCTTTAAAAGGGTTGGAGGGCTTAGGTTTCGCAGGTGAGCTTGCACTGCACCAGCGCGTGAAGTTTTTGAACAGGTTGCGCAATCAGGTGGCCCAAGTGGGTGGAGCCCAGTGTTGTTTTGTTTAGAGGTTGGCCCAGACTTTCAACCCCGACGCATCGGAAATTCATCCAAACAACATCATGGGCAAGAAGTTTGGCCTCGAGCTTTTTATTCCCGGATTGGGAAGTGGGTTTTTCGGATTTGTGCAGGGCGACCTAGACGTGGTTCAGAAAGATTCGAAGCCCCAACGAACAGAAGGTAGGCAGCTTGGGGTTAAAACCTAAACCCATGAACCCTGCATGGCGGTTGCCACAGCTTCTCAGTGGCAGGACTCTGCATGAAAACTGGCCTCGACAAAAAAGAAAAACCAGCAGAACGGTGAGCACCTGCTCGTGTATCGGAGAGCCCATACTGTAAGGGTTCCACGCGAACCAACCGTAGGGGAGTAGCAGAAAGCCTAAACACTCGAACCTCGCCAAAGCAACCACGCCATGGACCCATACACCAGCCCTAGCACTTGCCTCCTCAGCGTTCTCGGAGCCCAAATATTTTAAATTTTGAGTTGTGACTTAAACCCTCGGACGTTAGCACTTAATCTCCGGGCTGCCCTTGTTTCAGATGCGCACTTGGTGCTCTACAATTGACGGGCAAGCTCCAGGCAGGATGAAGCCTCACTTGGGCATGTGTTTTGGATGCAGAGCTTGGGTTTTTTGTCGATTTTCCCCAGGCAGTGAGTTTGCGAACCCTCTGAGGTTCCAGCGTTGAGGGCAAAGAGGGTTAATTTCTTTCGTCAAGTACTGCAACAATACAATAGCCCTGCATGTTCAACGTCGGGCCCCGCACGAACAGCCCCAAACCTAATCCCCTCAAGAACCCCGCAATGTCCGTGAGCAATGCGGGCGTTTTCGCGGCCACAGTTGCTGCGAGGTTGCTGTAGCCCTGGGCATTAGCGTCAGTTGGGTCTTAGACTTTTCGGAGCAGGCCTCGCGGTCTCGCCCTTGAAATGAAGCGGCCCGCGTTAGCACGACATCCTAAATTTGATTCGACCCCCCTGGCAGCTCAGCATATACTGTTGCTCAAGTGACACGCCTGCCCGCGTTTTCGACCACAGCGACGTCAGATGCAAGGACTGCGCCTACTAAGGATAGTACGACGACGACCACGACCACGACGACGACGACGACGACGACGACGACGACGACTGCTAATTACTAGTACTACAGCTTCTCCTGCTGCTTCCGCTGCTGCGCGAAGCGTGCCCACCCAGTCGCCCGGCTCTTGCGGCGCCCTGTGGGGTCCCAATCGTTTTTATTTGGGTGTGGCGTGCCAGCAGAATTGTGGGGTTTCGGTGGCTATTGGACATGCGTGGTTTTGGCATCGCCCCAAGTGACACATCGTGCTCCCGCCTGCATCCCATGCACATGCCGTGTTCAAAATCGTGCTGCTGCTCGGTCCCGTGCAGTTTTTCACGATTCAAGTGCTCCGTGTCGCGACTATGTCGCTTCGTGCGTCCATTCCCAGGGCAGGTGCATTTCGCAGCGTTTGACAGAAGTCCACTCTGTGGTGTTCCACTGCTCAGCAGTCCTGTCGTTGAGGTTTCGATCCGGGACTTGTGTGGGAGGTCATAGAAGAGTTGAATTCGCGACCCCTCAGCTCTATTTTGATTCGTATTGGTTTGTGAATGTCTATGCTCCCCGCATATGAGGTTTGGTGCTCCAAGGCCAACAGGCCTGAACAAAACTGCTTAAACTGTACTGGATGTTTCATAAGCAGCTTGGAACACACATGCATATACAGGGCCGAGAACCTACGCAAACCTCCGCCAGGTGTCCGGGTCGGATGAGGCGGATGCCTTCGAGGCAAATCCCATGTTCAGGGGTGGGTTTAGAGTTTTAGGCTGGGGGCGGGGGGCCTAAACCCTAAACCCTTACCCCTAAACCCTAAACCCTAAGTTCAATGCTTGAACGTGTAAGGATCTTGAGGACCTCAATAAAAAAGTTGCACGGTCATCATGGTCCCGCTGTAGGCCAGACGTGGCGCCGTGGGTATCTCAGGGAGTCTTTTCGCGCACTGTTCCTGGATTTAGGGGTCGGGGTTGGAGCTGTGGCCTTAAAGGTAAAAAGGGTTTCAAGCTTATAGGGGTCGCAAAGTTCACGAGGTCCGGGTCTTGTCTTGGACTTCACCGGCTCAGGCCTCCTCTTGTGACAGTTTCAATCTAGACCCGAGACTCGGCACGAAATCCGATGCCCTGAGTCCAGTCCCTTAGGGCTTAGGGTTTAAGGTAAAGAGTTTAGGGTTGAGGGTTTAGGGTGAAGGGTTTAGGGTTTAGGGTTGAGGGTTTAGAGTTTAGGGGCCCTAAACTGAACCTTACACACAGCTCCGCGGACCAGGCTTTTGACTTTCAGCAGGAAGCCGCAGCGCTGATGCAGGAGAGCAAGGCGTCGGGTTCCCCGCCACCCGGCGCAGCTTTATCCATTCCGGCCCACCCCAATGCTATCGACAGAAACATTCTTAGGGTTCATACGCCCCAAGCTTAGACACCTACGTCTTGTAAGCCGAAAGCCGGATGAGGCGCCAAGATACAAGGCAGAATGGGTTGAGGTAGACGTGTTTGCAAAATCTAGTGCCTGGCCACGTCGTCGTTTCACACCCAGCTTGAGAGTATGTGTCTTAAACTTAGGGCCAATAGAGGGGCTCTGAGTTCAGGGTACTCAAGTCTGGGATTTTGGAGGGCTGGTTTCAAAAGGCAGCTGATTTGTATGACTTGAAGGAGAGCATTTCCGCCCATACCCTTGTACCTCCACGTAGGGTCCGGCTGGTCATGTACAAGTTCCGCACACTAGGTATTAGAGTCAGGATTCAAAATAATAGTTGTCAGATGTAAAGGAGGGGATTCGTTGCCTCTCTCTTCGCCCCCCACAACACCTCAACTCCATCCTGCGGCAACGTGTCCGGGCAGGAAGTGGAAGAGCGAATGTGAGTGAATTACAACATTCTGCAGCCTGCCATCCGCCCCCCCCCTCCTAAAACACGCATAGTCTGATGTTTGCGGACTGTTTTGTTTTTAGCTCCCCAGCCCCCCCCCTCCCCCCTCCCCCCCCCCTCCCCCCAAAACTCTCAAAAGTTCTCGAGGCTGTACTATCCTCTCGACCATGGCTGGCACAAGGTTGCGGCTTGGAAGCTGAGACATTGTGTTGTAAGAGCCTTACGGGGCTTTTCATCATAAGGATTTGGGGTGTTTCCCCCTTATACCCCTTATACTAGCAGTCCTTAGTACGGATTATAATAGGGGGCCCTATAATCGCTATTAAGGACTGTTAGTATAAGGGGGAACATCCCAAACAAGGATAGTTATTCTCAGAAGTGCAGTTGCAAGTACAGAGCCTCATATTCTAGCCTTACTTGGGTGATCGCACCCTGCCGTTGAAACGTGGGGTTAGGCGGGTTTTAGGAAGTCCCCCTGCCAAGTCTCAGACCGTGATCCCCCCAAAGGCACTTGACGAGATTCACTCTGTGTCATCTGTGGGTTTTCAAGGCTTTAGGGTTTAGGGTTTAGGGTTTGGGGGTTAGGGGTTTAGGGTTTAGGGTTTACGTATATATGTATATATACTTTCTTTTTTTTTTGGGGGGGGGGGGGTTCGAGGCTCGGGGATTGAGGATTAGAGCGGTTTTCACAGAGGGTTTCCATGTGTGACCCGAGGCCACCGAGCCGGGTGAGACTTGGCTGGGAAGATATAGGGCATTCCTGTCGGCCCCAGTACAGTACAATTCTGTTCCCACGTGGCTGAGACACTATATAGACCCTACCTCACTGCATCCCAAAGCATGAGTGTTGAACGATGTGGAGCGGTGCTCAAGCATGCCGAGGCCACAATGAATCCGGCAAGCACATCCAAATCCTAAGCCCAAAGACTTAATGTTCAATTGCTTTACAGGCTTTGCAGCACAGGCTGCCCAGTTCGGCAGTTTCAGCAAAGCACACTTTGCTGCTGAGGACAGGATTGGTTTCACCAGAACTTCCCTCCGCAACTGCGAATACTTTTGCGCCAACACAGATGGCTGCCACAGATTCTTGTTTGCAGCTGCTGCAACTGGAGAGTTTGGTGCGTGGCTGTTTGGGGTTTGGCTTGAGATGCCATAGTATCTTGAATGAACCCTGAGCCAGAACCCGAAAACCTAAACCTTTGAAGGGCAAGAAAAAGGTGCTGCAGGACTTGCGTCAAGAAAGGAAGGATCTGGGGATTGAATGTGGACCTGTTGCAGCTTCTCTGGCAGGGCATGCAGGTGTTGGAGTTTCCACATCCGTTACCCTGAAGCCCCAAACTGTACATGCCCAACACCTCGAATCCACAAGCCCCCTACGGGAATGGCCCGAGTGGACGATTAGGTTGTAAGGTCTTGGATACTTGATGCTACAAGATGCAGCTTAACATGGCTCGGGCGTCAACGAATTAGGATTGGTGGGTTCGCCGCATGCGAGCATTGTGGTTGCACGGGTGGGTGGGGGGGGCCTGCATTCCCCCAACTGCCCTGATTTTAAAGCCTTGCAAATCTTGCTTTGTTTTTGAGACATCGGTGCTCTCGTTTTGTTTTTAATGGGGCAGGCTCTGTTGCCCTTGTAGTTTCAAGGATTACCTCCATTTCCTCTTATATGGACATCGGGAAAGCCTCGTATGCCTCGTCTACTCTAGTTCCCCTGTAGTTTAAAAGGAAAGCCCCTATTACCTCTGCATTTGATAGGAAAGCCGCTATTTCCCTTGTGATTTTTAGAAGGAATATTCTAGACAGAAGAACAAAGTCCAAAACGCACGAAAGCCAGGGTCGAAGATCCTTGAAAAGCCCTGCCCTGGCCTCCCAGGCTTCGAGTCCTGCCCCAAAACGCGGGCTTGCGTGCTGAGATCGCAGGCCCTCAAGGGCAACGAGCCCTGGGAGTGACGTGGCTTTTGGGATCAAAGGCTTGTTGTTGGCTGCTTTTGTCTGGGGCTTGAGGGCAATTAGGAAGCTGCAGGGCTTTGCGTCTTAAGTAAGCTTGTTTTGTTCCTGCCGACACACAGCCGAAACCGAGGCACTCCACGTACTGCCAGACCTGGTTCCGGAAAGAAGCCGGATTCTCTCCCACCACCGGTGGCCTGTCGCCATACCTCGGCCTTGGAATGGGTTCCGGGATCAGGACCTTAGTCCCTAAACCCTGAACTCCTTTGGCCAGAGTTGAAGAGACTTCAGAGCAGGAGGTTGCATCTAGTCTCTGACGATTTCTGCGCTGACAAATTGGGATGTATTTGGCAATCAAATTTGTCGGCTACGAGCAGAACGTTTGGGTGGGATCCAGGCTTAGGACTCCGGGTTCAGGTTGGGATTTTCCTTATACTAACAGTCCTTAATAGGGATTCTAGCAGCCCATATTGTAATCCCTATTCTGAGGGACTGTTAGTATAAAGGGGTAACATCCCAGGGTTCAGGGTTCAGGGCTCTCATGCCCGAGGTCGCAACGTGATCTACGAACAGTGCGAGAAGGGCAGCGTGCCACAGGCGATCGAGTTCGTTTCGAGCCAATCTGCTGCTGCAAATCAGGGGTCTTGCATAAAGCTCTGCGCCTCAAGCTTCATATATCAGATTTTATACCCCTGCACCCCGAAGATCCTTCAAGCCTTGGGCGCAGGAAATCCTGACATCAAATTTTACTTCCTCAACCTTGAACCTTGGAGCGTAGGCCCCAAGCCAGAGCCAACCACGGCAGTAGCTGCTGCAGCATGGGTGTTGTTCTAAACGCTTGTCCCTTTCGGAAACCGTTTTCAACATGGAATCCGATTATGACGTTGCAGCCGTAATTAAGATCAACCCCCGCGTGCATTAGCCCTGTAGTCAATATAATCGAAACCAGTCTAGATGCAGAAGCTGAAAATGACTCCGACTGTGGCAGCCCTTGCTCGGAGAGACCTTGGAGTACATGATTTCATGGCCCTGGGCCCAAGCAGGACCTACCTCGCACGATACAAGCAAAGACTCCTAAGACACAGCTGCAAGATCAATGTTTCAAGCCCCAGTGCACAATCCCATTCGCCGCCTGGCAGGAAGGCAAGTGTGTGAAAGCAGACGGGCCGGCCTCGATGACCTTCTACCAGTACAGTGCGCAGAGCAAGGCCGTACTACAGACTCTCAGGATTCTCAGGTGGGGTAGAAGGGATAGACTGTCGCAACAATGTGTTTTTGATTTTTGGGCAGGGGTCTGGACGGGGTGAATCTGAAAGCTTTGGAACCCGGGAATGCGCTTGCTCCACCTTCAGCCTAGAATGCATGAGTGAAGGCAAATCTGCGGATAAAGACAAACTTGCTCGGCCAGAATCCAGCTCCCAGCAAGTTCCGATCCCACTATAGGACACCAAATTCCCTGAGCATCGCAAGCCCTAAGCCGCCAAAGCCCTTGCAACGAGAACACCACATCCGCCTTGCGAGTACGACCCCGACCGGAAGTGGGAGAACATGGACATGGCCAGCCTGGGCGGGGTCCTGTGGCTTGGCCGAAGGGTTTTTCAGGAAAAGGGCAAGAAAGAATTTGTTGTTTTGCATCGTATAATTAAGTCTGGCTTGACCGTTCCAGAGCCCTAAGGGGCCCTTCTCATCCCTCGGCTGCAGTTCCCTAGCACAAACATTCACAACTCAGGGAACGGTCTTCATTTGTTTGTTGCTCTGGCCGGCGAAACGTACCTCAACCTAGGTTAGCATGCCTCGTTTTCCCTGGTTGCTTCGGCAGGGTAAGCGAGCGGTTCTAGTGGCGGGCAGGGTACTTTTGTCAAAAAAGCAAGGGCCGAAGGCTCCTAACAGCAACTTGTTACAGTGCCTTAAGACAGTCTCGTTTTCGAATGTTTCGAATGTTGCTCTTGAACACCCGAAACAAGTGAAAACAAAAGTATTGGGGGAAAAGCTGCTTTTGGGATGCATCGGGTGCGACTTGCGGGTCAAGCGCCGCCCCTCCCCAGCAAACCTTGGGAAGCACCAAAAAAGCCTGTGAAACTGAGGAAACAACCAGGTAAGCAAACGCGCGTCGAGCACCTACCCACTTTGCCGGTACCCTGAAACTCTGAAGGACAAATGTCCTTCTGTCCGCCAATCCTCAACCTGAAGACCCTGCTTGCAACTGTGACGTACCTCCCAAACGAGCAGCAGATGAGCTTTCTACAGCAACTCTACAGCAACCTCTCCCAAGAGTACATGTGTTTGCATACACCCAGGCCAGCGGGTGGATTCCAAACAGTCGCTTTACGCTTACAAATCCGCTTGGGCCCATTGGGCCCCCAGGTTCTACCTCCACAACGAGGTGGTGGGCGACAACGGCGAGCAGACTGTGGACGGAAAGAAGCTCGGAGCCATCCGCTGCTTCTTTTGGGACTCTGGAGCCATGGGTTTCAAAGTTCAGAATGTATGGGCCACTGGATAGGGTTGAGGGTTTAGGGTTTAGGATGCTAGGGGTTTCTGTTTTGAGGCACCCGCAACCCTATCCCCGAACGAAGACCCAGCCACGGACCCCACGGACTCCACAGCCATCAAGCTTCAAGCCCGAGGCCCGGGTGTTCAGGGTCTTGGCCTAACAAAACCCTACCCGCGAGCCTAGGAAAACAACAAAGTTCGGCATTGACCGCATTGTCCGTTTCAAGGTCACTGTGTGCCTCGCCGAGACTATTGGCACAACATGGGGGGGGGGGTGCTTTATGAAAAGGTCACCGGTTTGTTGCATGACTTTCTTGACGGATCCTAGACTCTGGCCCTCTCGATGCTGAGAGTGGAGACAGACACACGCCATCCCTCCCATCGTCAATACAGCATGCCTCAAACTCCAAACCCTGTTCCCAACCCTGTCAAAGGGACAGTCTCCACTCTTCTATGCTTAAGTAGCGGAATAGGCAGCCCCTGCCCTTGCAACCCTAAAAGCCCTGAACATGCAGCAGTGTGGCCATCGTGTGCTCTACTGATTCTGCCAGGGTTTAGGGTTTAGGGTCTAGGGTCTAGGGTGTAGGGATTAGGGTTAGGGTAATGTTGATGAGCAAGACTGCCGCAACAGTCAGTAACTGCCTCTGAGTTCGTCTGTTGCAGTCGCCAAGTTCTTTCAGTACTAGAAGGCGTCTGGGCTCCTGCAACCTACCAACCAGAAACCTTAAAGCCCGAGGCGAAGATTGCTCTAAGCAACTGAGAACGTGATTGGGCTCTGACGATCAGTAGCAGGATGCAACATCATGCAGCAGGGCAAACGTACGGGTTGCGGACAGGGCCGAAGGGCCTAAAAGCGTGGTCCTCTCGGCACCTGTCCCTGGTGACCTGTGCGCCTGAGATCAGGGCTCAGAGTGCCCTGACGTGGCCAGAGGCCTTGCATGGGTTTAGGGTTTAGGGTTTAGGGTTTAGGGTTTAGGGTTTAGGGTTCAGGGTTTAGGGTTTAGGGTTTAGGGCTGTAGGGCTGTAGGGCTGTAGGGCTGTAGGGCTGTAGGGCTGTAGGGCTGTAGGGCACCTGCCCACAGCGGCCACGGATGCAAAGTGGCTTAGGGTGCAGGGGAATCAGGCCCTTTTGAGAAATCCTAAACCCTAAGCCCCGAAGCCTCAACCCTAAACCCTAAACCCTAAACCGTAAACCCTAAACCCTATAGGTAGGTTCTTGGTAGATCCTAAGCTAGACCTCCCCGAAGGCACAACACAGATGCCCTCTGGAAGCAGTTCCGCTCACAGCTGGGGCCTCAGATGTCTGCACAGGCCCTGGATTTCAGAAGAGTTAGGGTTTAGGGTTTATAGGGTTTAGAGTTTATGGTTAGGGTTTCAGGTTTTTGGGGTTTAGGGTTTTCAGGGTTTAAGGTTTTTAGGGTTTAGGGTTCAAGGTTTTGGGGGTTTAGGGTTTAGGGTTTAGTTCGGGCTTCCTGGGCCTCAGGGCTTAAGAGTAGGGGCGGCCTGGGATGTTGCGTTGGCTCGTGAACATGTCCCAGTATAGTACGAAGACCTTCCAACACGATATGCCCGACAACCTGGAGCCCAAAACCGAAGCCAGTATGAAGTCTAAACCTTAAAGCCCGAAAGCCCTACTCCTAAGGGAGGGACCCCGAAACATCAATCCCAAATCCCACAGATCGTTCCAGGAGATTTGAAGCCTCTAAGGCCTCTAATGCCCTGTGGCTTTGAGAGTCAGGGCGCATCGGGGATACAGATGCGGCTCAGGGTTTTAGGGATTTGCGGTCTTCAAGGTTTCCAACACTATGCCTGATGTTGTCAGGTTCGGGCAGTTCATCCAGTTCGACTACGGCCAGGCCACCTTCGGCATGCCAAACCACGTCAAGACCCTGGCCCTGAGGTCTTCTGAGAGGTCTTGGGGGGGTGGTCTTGGGTGGTCGGGGTTCTGGAAAACCCAAAACATTTCAAGGCTGGGCTTCGCGTTTCTCTGGCTTGGATCACAAAATCCAGCGCACCATGTCGCTGATGCCCCGTTAAGCGGAATTAAGGTTATTTACGGGGGGAACCTCGGGAGGTTAGTATGGAGGGGGGTAGTAGGGGAACCCATGATCTCAGAACCCATGAACCCTAAACCCCAAACCCTAAACCCTAAACGATCTCAGGAAATGCAATGACATTTGGACCAAGTTCGGCTCCTTGGCGTCGAGGTCGATTTCGGCTGTGGCGGCATGTTGAGATCTCATTTTTGGGGCGCTTGCTTTCCTCCAAGCCTCATTCTTCTTGCCTTTCAATCCTTGTGCTAAGTACAGCCCGCAGAGGAGAGCTAGGTCGATAAGCCTTAAACAAGAAGATCTCGTTCTGAGGGTTGAGTTTGTGAATTTGGAGTCTTTAATGGCATCAAGTTATCAAGTGTCAAGGATTCAGAGACGGGTTTGAGGCTTCTAGGTTGCTTAAAGTAAGACCGATTTCAGAGCCAGTGAGGGAAATCCCGTCATTCTATAAAGCAGTATGCATGCGACTCTCTCTACGGCTTGCTGCAGCCAAAACTTGGCTCATGGAATGTCTGAACAATTGACCGGCCCTGTGAAGGACTTACTATAATTCCAGCAACCAAGACATGCATCTACATCCAATGCCAGTGGGGCCTGGCAAGACGCGGAGAAAGCGCTGCCAAGAAGGCGCCAGTGGAACAAGTATCAGGCCGTCAAGTACAAGCGGGCCCGGACTTTGAGACCCAAACTTTTTGAGCATCATCAGCATCAGCATCGGCTGGAGCCGGTCTGGCCTCACGCAGAATCTCATGTACCTTCGGCTCAGTCCCACCTAAAAGGAAAGCATCCCCCAACAATTTGCGACAGAAGACAATGCCTGAAGGGTCCTCGTTGCTAGCAGCACTACCTCTGGGCAGGACTCCAGCCCTAAACCCTAAACCCTAAACCCTAAACCCTAAACCCTAAACCCTAAACCCCAGTGCCAACATCTGCAACCGCAAACGCCCCTAAGCTCCTAAAAGTGAGGCTTCGAAGTCGGCTGCCAGCCTGTGCCCGAGGGCACCTCAGGCTATGAAGGCGAGGGGCGCCCCCACTCAACGTTTAGGGTTTAGGGTTTAGGGTTTAGGGTTGAGGGTTGAGGGTTGAGGGTTGAGGGTTTGTTCCTACACTTCATGGATTTCAAAGAGTTGGTAATTCATGGAAAGGCCCTATAGGGCTTCAGGTTTAGGTTTTGTTTCTAGGGTTTTGTTTCAGTGTGCATGAGGACGAGCCTTTGGCAGTGTTTGTTGGTTCGGGTTTTGTTGAGGCACGCTGTTGTATAAGCCATATGGATTCAGGGTTTAGGGTGCGCGTTGTGAGAGGCTGAGGCCGTGTTGCGATGCAGCTGCGCTCTGATCCTCAGTGAAACCCACACAAAGTCAAACTCCCGTAGACTCGGGTATACGCTTTTACCAGGTGGCTACTGGACCTCCTTTCCGGGACGCTGTCCGTCCATGCCTTTTACAGCACCACGCCAGCAAGTCAAGACAGCTCTAGACTTAAACCTAAAAACCCCGACCTGAAGCCCAAACCTCAAAGCTTAAGCAGCGTGTTATAGCGTGTATAAGGTGTAGGCTTCGGCGACTATTTTGGGTCTTGCAGCAGTCTTGCACCTCCTCTGGCAGAAAGGACGACTCACCACAAGGCGGTGCCAAGAAGACTGCGGCCTGCACGTTGGACAGCACTTGAGAAGTTGCTTGGGTTTGTTGGGGGGTGCAGTTTGGGATGTTCCCCCTTGTGCTAACAGTCCTTAATCGGAGTATAATCGGGGTTTTGCTATAATCCCTACTAAGGACTTGTTAGCATAAGGGGGAACATCCCAAGGGGTGCAATGTTTAGGGCTTCGGGGTGCTTGTTCTTCAGAAGATAACCCCACTGCTGCAGTCGCTCACGGCTCGGCTCCTGAAGCTAACTTAGCAGACCCGAGGGCTTGAGTACATGAGTGCTCGTGCCGGCAAGGGCTCCAGTTTCAGGGCTGGGGACGCAGTGCAGTGAACCCTACGTTGTTCCTGTCCACGCAAAAGGCCGCAAACCAAATAAGCAGAATACCAATTCAGAGCAACTGAGGCATGACGCAGTGGCAGGGAGGCAGATGCGACACACTTGCTATTGTGCTCCAGGGATTGCTTGGGTTAGGTGCTTGCAGGGAAGGCATCAATTGCTAACCCGGTTCCGAAGCCCCCAAATCCCCAAAGTTGGGACTCTGGCCTTTAGGGCATTGTAGGGGTTTGGGTTCAAAAGAGTCTATGCCTGCAGGAAACTGCCCCGAACCGGATGGCACGCCAGACTGCACCTGGCATGTGGAGCCAGCGGGCTACGTTCCCCGGCAAAGCGAGTGCCGGAACCCCTAGTGAACCCAAAGCCCTTTTTCAATCGAGATGGGCTCGTGCCGAGTAGCAATCCATTGAAAGTGCGGCAGATCTACAAGTTGGCATGCTGTTTGCTTTGTGTTAAACTCCCGAAAACTTTTGAAAAAGGTGATGCTGGACGAGCTTACCGGCATCAACAGTGAGGAAGTCCTGAATGCCGGAGGCCGTCATGTTGCGCCTAACGCCCGAAAGCCGACGTACTCGTAGGGGCCACGGATGTTCCTTGAAAGTCAAGCTCTCGTGGCTTTCTTGCTGCGAGCTTGGCTGTCGGGGGGCATGCAGTCAGGGGCTTAGAGGGCTTAAAATCCTAACATTCGTGGACCCTACGCCCTGGGACTTGAGAACCATCCCTCAATGGTCCCTCAATGTGTCAGAGGCCACCTGTACAATCAGATCCTGGACGCCGGCACCGGCGGTGCGAACAGTTTCTGGGCGAAAAAGACACTTGGCTTGGCGGATGGTCTGAAGAGGGATTCTAGTACCCCTTATACAAAATCCCCATAAAGGACTGGGGGGAACATCCCAACTGACCCAGTGTATGCTTCGTTGTGCTGAGATTTGCTCGGGTTCGATACTGAAACCGACTTGGGGTCGACTTTACCTCCCCGACTCGTGCTTGCCCACGTCTGGCTTCGGGTAAGGTACAGGACACCCTCTGCTTAGGCCAACTCGTTCACGTGAGCCCGTCCTGGAATGGAGTTTAACTCACGTAGATTGCCTGTGAATGGTTGAATAGGCTTGATAGGCCACACCCAGCGCCGCCCCACGCCGACCGAGCCTACCAAGCATCGGCCGCACATCCCGAGACCATATTGACGGAAACCGAAGATATACACAAAACATCGAGTTGAAGATAGAGCTCGATTCTGCAGGCCTCCCTTCCCCCCGTCCCCGCATCCAGAAGACGCAAAAGACCTCGACCTTCCAACGGTAACGAGTGAGCAATGGAAGCAACAACAAAAAACCCACAAGCCTCCTCCGGTCGATGGCAAAACAAGCCGGGCACTCACATCGAGCCTGGGTCTCATAGCCGGGAGGCCAACCCGGGGCCCCCCACCCCAGCGGCGAACCAATCGGCCCAACCAGAAGATTATACATAGAATATAGTGTTCGTGTTGGCGCAAGCACAGGCAAATTTCGCAGTGAGCACTGAGGCATTCGGATCATTCGGTAAGCCCTACAGATTGAGGTCAACTTAACACCCTACAGCATTCCGCAACCCCCTTGAAATGCCCAGCCCCACGGTCTTTTGAAGGCGCGAGACCCCCTAAACTTCCTAAACATCTCAGACTAAGGAAGGACAAGAAGGCGCGAAGCCAACAGCACGTCTGATGTGAAAAGGTTGAGGGTTTTGTGGGTAGCTTCAAAGATTCGGGGCTTTGAGCTCTAGAGTCTTGGAGTTTTGAAGCTTTACATGTTTCTCTGATCATGACATTGGGCTGCAGCATCTGGATTGAGTCCTTGAGTCCTGCACCCAATCAGTGGGAGTGGATCCCACTAGTAAGCGACACCCCCAAGACCTGCGATCTTCGATTTCACTTGGCTCGATGCTTGGAGACAACCATGAAAAACCCTAAATCGAACCCTAAACCCTAACCCTAAACCGCATGGGTCGGTTCCCGAGCCGACAAGTTTGCAACATTCACGCCTTTTCGGTTGCTCCCTGCAGGCCTGTGAGTCGCGCCAAAACGAGCTCCTGACCCTCTTTGCGAGGAAGTTCCCGGGACTCTTGGCTGTAGATGTGTAGGGCTCAGGAGCTAGGGGTTTAGGGCTTGGAGTATTTGCAGCTTAGGGGGGCTTTGTGTTTGAGGTTCAGAAGTCGGGTTCTTTCGGGGATTGAGTTTTCGATTTCGGCAGTGCAAGGCTGGAATCCAGCGCCCTCCACGTCGTAACCCTGCATAACCTTAAGCCCCACAAACCTTGAAGCTGGAGCCGCCCCAAGTCCTACTTCAACCTAAGCCAAAAACCCCCCAACACCCGAGATTCCAGATCCCAGCTGAGATTTTGACGCCGGGCTCCCGGACCCTCCGTGCGACTTCTGGCGCTGAGAGTGGCGAAACGCCTCTGCAACGGCAAGGTCCGGCTCGAGAGAAGTGAAGCAAAGAAGGGTCCTTCTAGATTATTGCGGCAATGATACAGGCGGAGGCCTCTGACTCTAAAAGGTTTCTATTCTCAAAACTTTAGGCTTGGGAAGGTTCATGCTCAAGGGAGTTCGCACAACTTCCCTGCATTTCCAGATACCATGTTTCAACCGAAGTTTGTCGAAACGTGTCGAATGCCCAAATGGTTGGTCGACCTTCGTCGAACGTTGGGGGGGACCTTTAGGCCTTCCCCTTCGTTTCCGCCTTGACTCTTCCCTAAACCCTAAACCGCCTAAACCCTCTAAACCCTCTAAACCCTCTAAACCCTAAACCCTAAACCCTAAACCCTGTCCGAAGAAGAAGGGCCCTAAAACCCAACACCCAAATCAAGACCAGTTTGATCGAATGCAAAGCTCCACACCAAGAACTTGGAAGTCTGAACCCTGCAAGTATCCATTTTTTCCTAGCGTCTGGGGAGGTTTTGGGATCAAGAGTTCCAGGCTCCTGCCCCTGTGCCCCACAGACTTTCAGTCCCAAGACACACCCCAAGGGTTTGGCGGGTCTTCATTAAAAGAAGCTTGAAGCGAAAAGGGAGAGCACAGAGAGAATCCTAAGGTAGCAACGAGGGCGATGTCGTAAGTTGCGTTTATGAGATTTGTATTAAAAGCCATGAAAAGATACAACTTATCAAGCGTCATAAAGTCCGCTCGCCTCCTCTCTCTATATAAGTCTTTCATCTCTTTCATGCGCTTTGCTTCGCTTCCCCCCCAGACACTGTTCCCTGAGTCTTCAGCACGAAAGACATTTTGATTGAGTGGTTTGCGTGTCGTCGATCAACCCGGAGACCTGTGATTTGCTGAGTTGCTGACCCTGCCAAGGCCATACGTGCTCAGACACTTGCACCACATGTCTGGTTGTTGCATGCTCACATGCTTTTAGGGTTTAAGGCACTTTAAATTGTTTTTGGTTTACTGCTTAGGGTGCATGGATCCCCACCCCTTGTTCAGCACGGCAACTGCTGCACCAAGCACCTAAGCACCATTGCACGCCTCCATCTTCAAAATGAACAAGCCGCACAATCTAGTTCGTTGTTTTGTTCTGCTGAGGGAGCCACGGCTTTACGGCTCAACACATCAGCATCAGCTCCTACCTTAATCTCAGCTGTAAGCCTGGGCCTGGTCACTTCTTCTGCTGATGCAAAGCCAAAGCTGCTGACAGCCTCAGCGCCCGGCCCTCAACGTTTGGGAAGGGAACGCAGAGACCTGACTTTGCAGTGGCCTTGCTTTCAGGCCTTCTTGTGCAGAGCCAGTGGAAGGTGTTGTTTTGCCTGCAATCAAGCCGCCGGTGTTTAAGCAGAACAATGCAGGGAGTTCAACGCAGCATCCAAGGATGTCATCAACTCTCTCGATGCCTCCATGACTGTAGCACTGCTGTGGCAGAGGGGCGCCAAGACATTCTTCACCAAAAAGAGCCCTCCCAACACGCACAACTAAGGCTTACAGATGTTTGTAGGGTTTAGGGTGCACACGTAGGGGTTGAAAGTTGAAATCGGCTGAGCCACATGCACCTGTGCCATGGATGCCCAGATGGGGGACGTCGGTCTGGGTTGGCGCACTTTGCTCAAGCTCAGCCGCAGCTGCAGCTCAATGGAAGATCGCGTGCGCGGTCCCTCGCTTGGCTTGTCCGTTGAGCCGCGGTTAGTTTATACGAGAAACTAAGAGAATCCAGATATGTGTAAGGTTCGTCAGGTGACCAATGATGTATTTTGCAGCAAAGTCCCCCCCCTCCCCCCGATGCGCCACTTCGACCAAGTATCTGTGGCCACTCACCCAAAGCCCCAATCCTTCATGAGTTGGTTTTCAAGCATCCGACACATCCCACGGCCACTCCCGAGACATCTCGTTTCATAACTTTCTTGCCGCGACCATCTGCCACCATAATGTCAGATGTGGCCTGGAACTAAAACCCTGAACGTTTTAAAGTCAATCAGAAACGGCGCGTGTCAGGCCAAACTTTCTACTGTGTCTAAAGGTTCTACTTGAGCGAGCAAGGTGCAGGTCGGCAACGAAAGTGAGATCGAGGCCCTGTACGCTGTGGCAGAGGGATGGGGAAAGCACTGCGACTTGGACTTCATTGTGAGAACAGTGGCGTTGTTGAGCTTCTTTGCAGTGGTTCGCCGTATCTTTCAAAGTACCCGAAACCCGGTAAAAAAGAAGGCCTTAGGTGCTGCAGAATGGCAAGGGTGTCCTTCCTGTATGCAAGGGGAATGAGAATCATAATCTGACATCCGTAAGATTTGAGTGGGCATCTGGAGAAGAGCCAAGGTGATTGGATCCGCGGCTGCATGGTATGCGGTGCAGCGTTCTTGTTTATGCTGTTAGCTGTGTAGGCCGCTGAACTTTCCGAAGAATTCAGAAGAAGTTTCGCAAGGGAGGAGGCAAACATGAGGTGGAGGCTTCAACCTTGTATCTGGTCGTTTCTCCTGGCTCTTGGGATTGAGGTTGGCAGCTCTTCTGCCCTCCCCAGCGTATGCGTCTCGGCACCAAACGACCCACGTCTTTCGACCTGGACCTTAATTATAATTCTCAGAGTTTGGGGTTACTAGTAGCGGTTTGGGATCTAGGGCCGGTAAGCTAACCCATCCTGAACCCGATCCCTGCCCATGCCCAAAACCCAAAAATCCCATGCCCCCTGAGCCTTGAAAAGTGAGTGCCTGGAGAACTTGAGGAAAACGCTTCGCGACGAAAGATGGTTTAAGTGTGTGTTTTTGGATTCAGAGCTTTGGGCTTTTCGGATTTTGGAGTCAGGGGTTTAGGGTCCGAGGGTTTGAAGCTTTCGGGTGTCAACACGGTTTAGGGTTGAGTGCCCTTGCTTCTAGGAGATCGTTTTTAGGGTTGAGGGTCATGCAAGGTGTCGGAATTCGGCTGAAAGTCCGAACCCCTGAGCTTCGCCTCAAGGCCGTGGTGAAGCAGCGACATGGCGAGGAGCACGGCAACTTCCAGGCAGCGGGAGTTGAAGCCCCGGAGGGTGCTTTTACCTGCTTGTGTGGGTCAGAGACCGGTGGTGGGTTTTGTTAGTTTGGGGGGTTCAGGGGTTTTGTTAGTTAGGGGGTTCAGGGGGCGATGCTGTTCGCAGGCTCTCCGTGTCGAGGGAGCCAACTCCATGGATGTTTGGGACGTTTTGCAGCTCACAATGCCCACGGTGGACGACTTCAGCCAAGGCGCCCAACAAGGTTCAGCTCTGAAAACCCTAAGAACCCTGAACCCTGAAGCCTAAACCCTAAACCCACGTGGTTGCCCAGGGGCCTCATGCAGACATCGCCCTGAACAGCTCCAAGCCTCAAAAACAGGCTCTCGGCCTCAGCCCTTCCAGGCACTGCCAATCTGCTTTGCTCCTTCCGCAGGCGATGTTCTTGGGGCACGGGTTTTGGGGCGAGTTGTGTGTGTGTGTGTGAGAGGTTTGAGGTGTAACGGGGTGCGGGGGGAGGCAATGCATTACTGTTCAATGTTCAATGTGCTTTGAGTGTCGGCCAAGGGCTGGGGATTGAGGGTCTTTTGTTTTCTAGGTCCTTGGATGGTTTCGTGACTCAAGACTGGCCACGGCATGCGTTCCGACGACATGTGGTCAGGAAAGAGGACCTGAAAGGCTTGAGTCTATGGCCGAAACGGCGGATGAACCAGGGCTTCAATCTCCAAGAAGCTCTCTGAGGCCCCGAATCCGATACACCTCGATTTCAAAGACAGGGGTCGAAATAATTATGCCTCCCAAAATCCTGATTTTAAAGTATTAAGTCCCCAAGATTACCTGCAGGCCGTGGATGTTCTTCATGCCGGAGAACCTGAAAGCCCTGTTGGATGAGAAGGAGTTGCGACTCGTCGCCCAAGCCAGTCTTTGATCCAGTATGTACCGATGGTCGCATGCTCTGAGCATGGCATGGCATGCGAGTAAGGTGATTTTGTTGATGTCAGTTAACCGTGACATGCCCTTGTCCAGTATACCCAGTCTTTCCAGCATCCCCCCCAAACTTTCTCCCAAACCTCAAATCTGACATGTCTCAACTCTTTTTTGCTTTGCTATTTCAGGTCCCCCTCCGGGGAGGTCAACGTCTTCTGCGCCGGGCGCATGGCATGCCAGACGCGGCGAGCGCTGGCAGCGCCCAGGCACTCCGTAGTGTTTGGGGGCGTAGTAGGGTCGCTTCCTTGAGAATTTAATGGAAGGTGGCGAGCTGAGGGGCTTAGTGAGGTTCTTTATAAGTGTATGAGTGTAGGGTTTGGGGACCTTAGGATTCACCCGGGAGTCGGGTGTATGCTTTCGCTCGCTTGCGCAGCAAGCGCAAGCAGAGATCCTGGGCTCCTGGATGACAGAGAGGGAGAGAGAGCGAGAGAGAGAGAGCCAGAGAAAGAAAGAGAGCCAGAGAGAGCGAGAAACAAAAGAGAGAAAGAGAAAGAGAGAGAAAGACAGTAAACCAACAGGCCAAACCTGAGGTGCGTGCAGCTTGCAAGGCGGCAAGACAGTTTCAACTCCGAATTGGCCCGAACTCTTAAGGTCCCAACACGCACACCTCCCCCCACAGGCTACACCAACCTCTTTGGCCGCCGCTGTGCGGTGGGCGTGTGGAGGAGCCTTGAGGCAGAACAGGAACCTAGATCCTTCCACCCGTATGGTTTAGGGTAAAGCTATACACGTAGTCTGTTGCTCCAACGGAAGTTGTCTAATACATCTGGATTGCTAGGACAGCAAAAGGTTTGAGGAAGCCTTAAGCCCAGTCAACAGAAAGGGTTGTCCGGGCTAAGCCCCTTGGAGAACTAGTTGTAGTTCAGTATGTGTTCCTGCTTCACAACCGAACACTAAGCCCTAAGCCATCCCATGCCTTAGAAACTCTGGGAAGCTAAAGCCTAGTCTGATACCCAGTACGACCTTTGGTGAAGTTGGTCAGCTGTGCTGGTGGGGAGCTTCCAACTGACGGGAAGCTGAAAACGCAGGTTGTTGGCAGCAAGGCTTATCGCTGACAAGGTACCACGTCGAGCTAGGCGTTCAAGATTTGGAGGATGCAAATGTGAAGGTTTGGGGGCCAATCGTTGCTGGAGACACTTGCCGGTGTGCGAAGGACATCTGCCATGCCAACTTGACGCAGCCGGTTGCCATCCACGCCCCCAACCTCCGAGCGTCCTTGGGCTCAGAAAAGTTGATCCTGGCTTCTCACCAGGCTTTTAGGACTAAAGCATGAATTCGGAGTCTTAGAGGCCTTAGTTGGGGTTGGTAAGGTAGGGTTGAGGCTTTAGGTGGTATCGAATACAAAGTCAGCTGCCTCAGGCTTACATTCCCAGACCCTTTAGAAACCGTGGCCCTAAAGCCGACAAAAGCCTCACAAAGGCTTCATGGCTTGCAAGCCGCTTTCTACCACGGCTGGGCTTTTCGTTCCTGGGATTGCACGGAGTTTGGTCTGTCCTATAATTGCAGGTTGCAGAGTGCATATCGTGGCTCGAACTTGGGGCAGAGCTTCAGGGACTTCAAAAGGATTAGGGGCTGTCCAGATGAACATCTGACACACGAGGCCCCACACGAGCGCCCTTGGAAAGCACCAATCGCAGCGTCTAAGTAGTGCACATGTCCCAAGCGAAAGTGAAGACGGGCCTGGACCCTAAACCATAAACCCTAAACCCTTGGTCTTCACTTTGTCAGGTCGCTGGGCTCCTCACTAATGTTTTTCGGGGGTAGGTGCAGGAGGGTTCAGGGACTAAGCCGGGGTCAAAAGGATGGCTACCAGGATGCCCTGAACCACCCTAAGCCCGAAGCCTAACCCCCAAGCCCGAGGCTGTCCACAGCCTTTGCGAGTTGCTGGCCGGCTGCCTGTCGGCCGCGGCAATCCCCCGCGGGTGGCGATTCTTATCGGGTGTTTCTGCAGAGTTTTGAGACAGAATTCTGAGATGGATGGATCAGGAGTTTGAGAACTAAAGATGTTGGGTGTTCCTGAAGCCCTAAACCTGTCAGGTTATCCCAAAGTCTTGAGCTGTCCTGAACTCCTACTCTTGCAAGCTCCACCCGCATGCTGTATTTGAGTCCCCAAGCTTCCAGTTAGCTGACGGAGCCCAGTTCTTTCAAGGTTCTGTGGGTTCCACACCCTGACCCTCTAAAGTTCCAACAAGGCATGGCCCTCCAAAGTTACCCGCTTCCTGGCGATCTGTGAGCTTCGTAAGTTGTATGGAGCCAGAGACTCGAACTCTCAGAATTCAATGAGCCCTAAAGCCCTAAAGCCCTACCCTAAAAAGCCCTATAAAGCCCCATAAAGCCCTGTAAAGCCCTAAAGCCCGAAAATACAAGTACGTTGCAAGGTCGCTTCTGAGAGGTCTCCACATGTCGAGGAAGCTGCTTTCCAACTTGCTCCCGGACCTTGAGGGTTTTGTTTTGTTGGGAATGTTTTTTATTTGGGTCTTCTGGACTTCCTTTGCTGATGGTTTCTAGGTGGCTCAACGATTCAGATCTGCTTGGGGCACTCAGGGGGTTGAAACCTCGAAGGGGCGGTCTAGTCGTGGGTTCGCCTGATGGGGTTCGAGCCTCGGGCTTCGTGGATGCGGACTTTGAGATAATAGGAGTTGAGTTTCGAGCTGCTTATGCAGGCTGCAGCAACCGTTTCTGCCACGGATGCGTACGTCCTGTAGACATTTACCTTGCTTTAGGTGTCAGTTGGTGACACGGCGGGCCGGTTGGCAAGTGTTCTAAGGAGGCCAAAGATGCTAAGACGAGGGACTGATTGCACTTGCCTGAAACTTTAGGCCCTCAAACCCTGAGCGCTTAAACCTCCTGGTTCTTAGTGGGGGATGAGGGAATGAGGGCTCCCTACATAATACATATATATATATATATGATATACCCCTTAAGGGAGGAGTATACACGGTACCTCATTCCCTACTAAGAACCAGCCAGTAAAGCCTTGTCACCATGCTCCATGACCTGGTTCATGGATACACGCTGAGAAGTAAGGTTTCTTGACTGGCGGCTGCACTACTGGGTCTTCATCTACACCTCACCGCTGGTCGTCACAGGGAAGAACGACGTGTGTGGGAGGCTCTTGCGCTTCGCCAGCATACCGGAAGTGCCGTTGGGGCTTAAACCCTTTAGCATTTATGGTTTACAAGGGGCAAGGCTAGCAGCAGGTATCGTTGAGTTCTTCAGGAAGGCCCCGCTACAAAGTCGGAAGGACTTGGCGGGTTGTCGCAAGAACGTTTGCTCCTAAATCTTTGACGTATGCATGTAGCAAGGTACCTAATACCTGGGCCCTAGGCTGGGGCGAGGGCTCTCCCGACTGAATGTATAGCAAAAGCTTCCCGTCACTGAAACGGTCTTTGAATCTCCAGGAGCTGGATCTTCGAGCTTTGATAGGGTTTAGGGCTGTGTCCGTGAGGAACGAGATCGTGTCGCAGAGCCCGAGAATCAAAGTCCAGATCCGTTTCGCCACCCGCGCGGAGAACCTTCAAGAGCAGGATGAGGGGTCCGGGGAGCCGCGGGCAGTTGGAATATGGGGGCTTTGGGGGGGTTCAGGAACGTGGACTGCCATGCCCTACATATTCTAAACCCCAAACTTGAGCCCCTGTAACTCCCGGCAAAGTGTTGCAGCCCACCCTTTCCGTTGCATCGTTGGCAAGTGTCCAAGAAGCCCGGCACCCCTCAAAAGGGTTGCTTGGAAATTGGGGAGTCAAGGCCTAGCAGTTTAGGGCTTAGGAAAAAAATTTCGTGGAAATCTTTCTAGGTTAGCCGCTTAGAATTCAGGGGAGTGTAGGGTGTAAGTTTCAGAAGGTCCAAGCCACACAAAAGCCCCAATGCCTCGAGGAGTTCGAGAGGGCCGTCAGCTCCAGGCGGCCCACCGGAGGGCTGTATTTAGGGTTTAGGGTTGAAGGCATAAGGAGCTGTCTGTAGCCTATAACCAGAGCTGCCTAAAACTTCAACCTTTTGGGGGTTCAATGTGGACACGTAGATGCAGATTCAAGGTCTGAGAAGTGAGATTTCAGGAATGCCAACCCACCTTAACCCCCCCTGACCTGGTTTCTGGCCGTTTCGCCGAGTAAGTCCGCTTGTCGCAGCTGCTTGTTGCCAGGTTGGCTGAGAACCAGATTGCAAGTTTTTAGCATCTGGGTTCAGGGGATTCTGACTAGCGAACCCACAAAACACAAGATCATAGCACCACTAGGGCCCTTCAGGTCTTAAACAGATGGTTCCAGGCTCCCAAAAAACTACGCGGCGGCATGCGATGCAATGCCATCAAACCCTCAAACCGCAGAGCTCTAACGTCCGGTAGCGCTGCAGGCACATGCGGCAGTGGTACAAGCTGCAGCAGTCGTACCAGATGATGCAAGCTCACGAGCAGAAGCATGGGCGAGAGTTCGACTTGGTCCTGAAGATGAGGACAGGTTCATGCGTCCGGTCACATGGAGCAGTCCACTAAGGCACTAGCAATCCCTTCCTCCATGTTGAGGCTCGAAAGGCATGATGCAGTTGTGAGGTTTAGGTCTGAAGGTTTTGACCTGCGGCTTCGGGCCAAAGAGTATTTGCATTCCGGTGTGTTCTTTAGTAGTTCTAGGGTTAAAGGCTGTGTGTTCATTCGGGTTTAGGGACACAGACTCTGACCCTAATACTACCACGTACACTACTCCCTAGTGATAATACTGGTCCACCCTAAACCTTGATTGCTGAAACTCAAACCCAAGCCTTCGAATTCCAAAGTTGTTTCTTCAATTCGTGTTCAGGATTGCACTCAGTGAAGTCTTGCAAGCCGAACTGAGAGCAACTTGTGCTGCTCAACGTGCGAGTTTGCTACTGCACAATCCACCCCGCACAGCATCTTCCCCTGAAACATCCCCCTCTGATTAAAACACGTTTGGCCTGCACCGGTTTTGTATGGTAGGGGTGAGGGATTAGCCCCAGGGCCCGGTGGCCCCAAAATCTGTCCGAGACCTGCAGGACAGACATGACGCTGATGGAGCCCATAGATCTGTCGTCGTTTCCAGACGTGCTCACCTCCCGACGCTTGATGTGATTGCCCTTGATGCCCACTTGGGTTCAGGATTTGGTGTCGAGCATTTGCATCGCATTCTGACCTCAGCAGCAGGAAGGAGCGTCCCCTCTAGGACAGGCCACGAAGCTCTTCGGCTCTGATCACTGTCACGTACTTTGGAACCTTCAGCACGGGCCCTTAGAGCCTAAGCCCTTTAAACTCTGTAAACCTTGACCCCAGGGGTCATCTACAGCTTCACGGACCTCCTCTTCCTGTCACGCCGGGACGTTGCCCACAGCCTGCTCGGCGATGTGACACTTGGCATGAGTAAATAACATAAACATGTAAATTGCAATATAATATTATCAATATAATAAAATTATAAGAATAATTATCTCCAACTAGGATGACTATGAGGCTCTGCACCCTTCAACTTTGGGCCGAAGCCCATTGTAGCCTGGCAGAAAGTGAAAGGTTGTCTCTCTTACAGTAGCGAAGAAAGGCTGAAGACGCTCAAACCACGCATGGTGCAATTTGTCTAAGCCGACGGGATGGAAACATCGGTGCATGAACTGGGAAGCAGCTTCCTGCTGAACCCCGAGCCCTTAACAGCCCTTAACCCTTAAACCAAGACAGCTTAAACTCTAGCTCCTTAAACTTGAGTCCCGAAACCCCTCACCCCCGAGCTTCAAAGCCTCTATGCATCCTTCACCTTGAGCCTGTGACGAAGCCTGAAACGACAACCTCCAGCTGGCTCCAAACTCGCCCCTGCCCAGCACCAGACAACAGGCACATCTGCCCGGAAACTTTTTCAGAATTCAGTTAAAACAAAGCTTAACCCGCTTGGACCTAGCCCAGAGTCAGAGCACTCCAACCTCCATCCCATAGACTGCGGGGGTTGGTGCTTCATCCTGCAGCCATGCAAGAACCGCAAGTCCCCCGCCTCATTCCTGGGACCCTGCTCCCCCCCAAACCGATGAGCTGGTAAGATGGACTCCGTGGGTCCTAAGGTTGAGGGCTTCCGGGCTTCATGAGGGTGCAGGGCTTTGTGGCTTGACATGATCGTTCCTTGGCGATTTCTGAGTTGCGAACCTGCGACCGGCACAATAGACAACCCTTAGAGGGCAATCCCCTTCCTTCGACCCTCTCGGAGGACAAAGAAGATGGCATCCTTCGCTGGGGACCAGCGACGGCTGTATCTGGTAGCAAATTCGGTTAGAAGTGTTGGCGTTTAGGGTCGAGAGTTTCAGGTTCAGGGGCTCAGCCTGTGCCCTGAACCCAAAAGCCCCCAACCCGAGAACCTAGAGCCGAAAGCAAGCCCTGCGCATGAAACGTAGAAGAAAAATCGGAAGCCTAAGCCCCAAACCCCTACGCCCATGCCAATCGTAGGTCGCATCCCATGTAGGTATCCCCTGGACTTTGCCCGCGTGCTTCGGCGGGGCCGGCAGCCTACAGGGATTCCAGCACTTGGGGGGGGGCTTAGGGGTTTTAATCTGTTTTGGAATTTGCAAGCACGTCATGACTTTGTGAGCTCGAGGGCGAGTGCAACGGCATTATTGAGGAGGTGTAGTTCCTGCAGCTCTTTAATCAGCAGGGTGTCGCAAGCTGAAGCCCAAAATGTCGGCTCCGACCCAAAGCAGCTCCTTCCACGCCGCCTGAAACTGAGCATAGCCTCCCATCCCAAGGCCTTGGCGATGGGCTCCGTCTCCAGATGTTTCCAGATGTGGGAGCCTGGCCAGAAAGACTTTGGAGCTCTTCTGATGGGGGGGTGGGGGCCGGTGGGGGGAGGGGTGGGGGGTCAAACGGCTTTCATGAGGCCTAGCACGAAGCTACCTCGTCTGCTCGGGGTTTCGGTTGCTGGCTTTGAAAACCAACCCGTGTTCGCAAGCAAGCACCTGGTGTTTGTTCTTGCCGGTGGTAGCGTGGCCTCAGTGCTTGCAAACGTCTGCCAACTCTTCCTCTTGGCTGATGCAAAGGCCGGGCACAAGCACGCACAAGCACGCGTGCACACAAGCGGATGCGAGCATGCACGCCCGCAGGACCGTTCCGCAGCCTAGTTCCCAAATCCCTTCCAACAGTAGCCACTGAGTCGGAAAGGCTTCCATAGTTTCATCCTTCTTCTAGAGCTGTTGCATGTCAATCCCCGGCTCCACCACGCACGAATGTACCTGTAAGTCAGCCCCAAGCCTCTGAGGCTCGACAGAGCTCCGCGAGGCTATCCAGGCCACCGGAGTGCTAATGTGAGTTCATCCGAAGTTAGATCGTGTTTTTTTGCAACTAAAAAAGCAGGGAGCTGCAGCCGAAAGGTCGGGTGAAGCGCTTTAGGGCTTGGGGGCTGTCGACGCGTGAGAACTGCTCTGCGCATCAGCCAGGCCCAGAGCATAGCAGTCGCGCGACCCTAATTGCCCGAAGGACTTTTGATTTAAAGGGCCCAAAGGGCCTTCGATGGTTCCAAACATCTTGAAAAGCATGGAACCAGCTTGGGCCCAAAAGCCCATCCGGGGATTTCACTCAATACCTTGAACCCTCGACGGCGCACCTGAGCCCGAAGCCCCGCATCCTAAAGCAAAGTCCTGCAAACTAAACAGCTAGCTCGGCCCTAAACCAAAGCCCACATCCCTGAACTCGACAATGTCGGACAGTTTCGGGGAGGGGCTCGGAGGGTGGGGTGTTGGTAGTGTTTAATGCCGGACGTTACAATTTTCCCAACGTTCGCATTTCGTTGTCAAGCTTATGGTGCGCAAACTCTACTGGCATGCAGCGAACAGTCAGACTTTGGAGACTACCCCGAAACCCTGAACTCTCAACCTACTTTCGGTGCAATCTGTTCCAGGAGAACAAGTTCCTCCGTGCACAGGGGTGGCTCAGGAGGCCGTGTATTTTAGCAGGGGCGAAGGGTACTTCAAAACCTGCCATGTGAAGGATGTTGGGGTTTGCTTTGTGGATGTTGCCATAGCAAGGGGTTCGTTCTTGCAGCTTATAGGCTTCAGCGCGCACTGCGACTCCGAGCAAGACTTTTCGAGCTTGCGCAGCCCCAATGCCTGGAACCCTAAGCTAAAATCCAAGGACCCTTGCACCCTAACTCCCACAGCCGGAGAGGTGCGCACCATTCCCTGGAGCCTCGGCTCCTCGGTGTGCCGGTCTCCTGGGCCTGGTCCCTGAGTGCCCACACTCGAAGCCCGCAGCGATCCCGCCGAGTATCCCGGGAGTGCCACTTGCAGTGCCCCGGCGAGTGGCCCAAGCCAGAGGTTTCCTTGACCATTTTCGGACAAAGCCTGCCGAGTATCCTTGGAGTACCCACCTCCAGAGAAGCCCGCAGAGAGTCCCGCCGAGTGTCCCTGGAGAGTGCCCAACCTCCGAGAATTCATCGGAGGGCGAAGTATCCGCGAGTACCTTTCCGAAAAACGGCAGGATGGCTCCCACATCAGGTAGCTGTAGGGCGCCGGTGATCGAAGTTAAATAATCTTCTTTGGGGGGTGCCCGCTTAGCTTGCCGAACTCGGCCGATGAACAAAGGACCCGCCCTTTGCACTGAAACAGGGGCCGCCCACTTCCAAAGCCCTGTGCATAGGAAACGCAGATGACAGATGACGTGCGCCCGCTCAACCCCGACCGTCTCAGTAGGACTTTTTGTAGGGTTTATAAGTAGGTGAAGGTTCCGCTAAGGGCTTAGGGGGTTGGGAGTCTAGGAACTGTCCTGTCAGAAGCCTGTTGTGGCTTGTTGTCGGAGGTTCAAGCACGAACTCATGGCAGCGCAAGAGGCGAGGGAAGCCGGGGTGGGGTCATGAAGCTGCAGTCCGGAACTCTCAAAGCCCCTCTCCAACCCTCATCCCTCCGGCCCACCTTTGTTTGCAGTCCGCAGATCATGTGAACCCCTTCAGTGCTCACACAAGTCTCGCATGAACATGCATGAAATGGCACAGGGTGAGCCGCTAGTGCGTTCGGTCCGCAGGCCTTTTCGTGTTGAGCATCTAGAAGTTTGCCAAGCACAACTGCAATGAATAAGTGCAAGCCGCAGTGAGCGGACGTGGCCTTAATCTTCAAGCAGTCACGATGAATCCAAGCCTTTGCTTATTGAACTCTACGTGGGTCGGCTGGCGAAATCACTGCAAACAAAGACGGGATTTGACAAAGCATTACTGTACTTCTGCCGAGTCCGACGACTGAACCCAAAACCCAAACTAGGTTTAGCATTGCACTCTAGTGTTGCCCCTGTCAAGTTTTAATTAGGGTTCAGGGCGTTTCGTTATTTTTAAAGCCTCGCGGGCAAAGGTTGTAGGGTGCTTGTAGGGAATCTTAGAGCCCCCTCAAAGACCTGTGGATGCAAGGCGGCTGTGCAAGGAGAGGATGTCCCAACCTTCACGGGCCACTGGAGGCCCCACATGGGCTTAGCTAGCTGAGCTGGCTTAGGGCTTCGAAGTTTCGGAAGATTTCTGTGGGCTTCTTAGGGGTTTAGGGCTCAAGGACTCAAGTGCTTGGAGATCTAGATCCGACACCCTAAAAGCCTCCAGCGTAACGCAGGAAGCATGCAAGCCAACACCTACACAACCTCCTAGAAGGTCGCTACAGCCCTCATAGGATTTCAAAGTACCATTATTATTATTGTTGTTGTTGTTGTTCATACTATAAGGATAGTTATAACAACAAGAACCATAATAATAATTGTTATTGTTAAGAATCCCAAAGCCTCGAAGGTTCCGGCCGGACACCTGGCAGTACCAGGCCTGGAAGCGCGCCCCTGGGCAGAAAGAGAGGCTTTCAGTGTTTGGGGTTTTCGAGTTTAGCGGCTTTTGGTTCAGTGTATTCTTGGCTTTTGCTTGCAGGTCGTGGTGCTCGTGTTTTGGGTTTTGGGCACTTCAGGGTTCAGGAAAGCACCGCATTTTAGAGGTTGGAAGGCTACGATGGGCTGCCGCTGTCATGTTGTCATGTAGGGGCTCTTAAAGATCTTCTCCGGGAGTTCCGGCTGGACTTGAGAAGCTTTAGGCTTATGGTGCTCCCCCGAGATTTCTTCGGGAAAGCCCAAGCCTGCAAATTTTCTCGATTGCGTGGAGAGGATGCCTGGTTGCCCTGAGTGTGCCTCGTGGAATTGAAGCCAGAGGCTCAAGCTGAACGTAAAGACCCAAAGCATTGTTGATTTGAGGTTGGCCCTGTGGTTTTGAATCGAATTTGGGTTGAGGGTTTACAGGGCTTGGGGTGTTGGGACCCTATACACCCCAAACCTTGAGGGGGCTTCCGGGTACTCAACGCATTTTTCTGTTGGCCCAGGATGGCAGGCTGGCTCCTGACAAGCAGATGTGCTCCGTCACGCGGTGGTTCTACCTGATTCACAGGACAGTCCAGGTGGATTGACTCCGGATCTGTTCTTGTCGGCGCCAATCACCATCACAACCAACCTACAACCGACCAACAACAACCAACCAAACAGCCAACCGACCTTCCGACCAACCTACCAACCGACCAACGCACCAACCCACCCACCAACAAAAGCCAACGAGCCGACAACCGGCAACCAGCCGCAAATGTACAGTATAGGGGGGAAGATGGCGATCCCCCCTTGCCCCCCCCGTGCGCAACATTGGGCACGCCAGGTTCCTCAGTTTTAGTGTTGGAGGGGTTTATTGTTTACGGGTTGGTTTTTTCACACCTTAAGTGCACTTGTCCTCCACAGGACAGATCCTGAGATCACCATACAGGAGTGGCCGCATGTCAAGGCATCGTTTCGGGAATTTGTGAATCTGGGGGTGTCAGGGGCATAGGATTCAGATTCAGGTATTTGGCTTCTTCCAGATGGTTTTTTCAAGATTTGCCCGCTTCAGAGTGAGATCTCGATAGCTTAGCCACTTCTGATGTTTTCTAGCCTTGAACCTGCGCGAGCAAAACAAAACGCAAGAGGAAGCCCCTCTGCTAGTGGCTCCAACATTGGAAGAACCCAAGCCCTGAGTGGTGACGGCAAACCCAAAGGCAGTAAAGGCCCTAAAGCCCCTAAAGCCCCTATAGCCCCCAAAGCCCCTGGAGCCCCTAACGCCCCTAAACCCTATGGCCAGGGTCGCAAGATCTTGCGCCTCTTCCCTGAGCGCTTCGCCTCGAACTGCAACTGCGACTGGGCCCTCAATGCCTTCAAAGCCTTCTGCTTCGGCGCGGGAGAGTCGATTTCTCCGGGAGCTTTGGGGGGTCTCTTAAGGAATATACCAGTCACCTTCTCTTCTTCAAGAAGGCTCCATGGCTCCATATGCTACGTCGCTCCCGAACAGGCCAAGAAAGGCTGCACCCTGTTACAGCCCTGAAGGCTTTGAACCTGTGAACCCGAAGTCGCAAGGGCCCCCGAAATGGGGGGCTTACGAGAACAGGGGACCAAAAAAGAGACTCCCAAATAGTCGGATCCCCTTAAAAAAAGGACCCAAATAAGGTGCCCCTATTAAATCGTACACTCCCAAAAATGGCTGAAGAAAGCCTCGCAGCCCAAGGCGAGCCACCCCACTGCTGGCCAATGGCCTGGGGCCACTCGACGGCTTCCCATCCTGCGTGTTCCTTCTGTTTGGATTTCAGAACTTTGCTTTCTAGGGTTCAGGGTTCAGGGTTCAGGGTTCAGGGTTTAGGGCTTAGGGCTTAGGGCTTAGGGTTTTTGATTTTGGGTTGTTTGGTCTGGGGGCCACCATGGCTTCAGAATGAAGCCCCCCAACATGTAGGGGGAGGGCTTGAAGTGTTGGCCCTTAACCTTTGAAAGAATTCTCAAGCTCAAACTCCCAAATCTCAAGCCCATAACCCACAAGGCCATGGCCACCACCCCTGCACCCGCTGCCCACTGCCACAGACCTTTCGGGGGAAGCGGGTGTCTAGGGCAATTCAGAAATCTTAGGGTTTTCATGTCGGGCATATCAACCCTTCAGGGAGGGTTTAGGGCTAGGATTTAGGAAACTAAGGACCCGCGCCTGAAGGGCTCTTGGAGGGGGTGGACTGGATACAGAGACTCGGCCTAGACAAGCCTTTGAAGCCTTTGAACCCTTTGAACCATGCAAGCAGCAGGAAAGGTGCTTCATGGCTTGAAGCTGGGATTTGTTCATGGGGTACAGAAGTAACAGCGCATCGCGGCTTGAGTGGGGCTGCTGGCATGCCCTGTAGTACCAGCACTTCCTTCTTTCAAGGAGACCCCAACAAACTCCACTAAAGAAAAACCAACTGCACCTTTTGTTAGGGTTGCCGGCCGATACGAAACGAAGCAACAGCATCAACCCCAAGTCAGCCATCGAATCCTGAAGCTTAAGCCTTAAAGCTGAAGTCTGTCGGCGCAGGTCCATGGAGTTTGGAAAGAGTCTTATGGCCTGTGCTTGCCAACTCTATTGAACGGGATTGTTGTATGCTTGGCAGTCAAAAATTGCGTCAGAAAACCCTTGACTGCAACAGTTCGAAACTCGATTGCGCTGCCGGTGCCCGGTGAACACCTTGACCCACCCATCTCGAAGACGAAGCCTCGACAAGCAAGGCAGGAAACGAACCGAAAAGTTGAACAAAAATGCAGGAAGAAGTAAACTGGCCGCAGCAACCCGACAATTTGAGAAGTTTCAAACATTCCTGGAAAGGCCGAGAAGTCGCAACAAAAAGCTTGGGCATCCCAGAAGTCGACAAGCCCCTATAGAAGTCTTCCCGAAAACAACCATGATGGTGCTAAATTGGAAAGTCCAGAGCCACGAAGCCCGTGCAAGATCAAGCACACCACAAAGCAACTCGTGTTTGTTGATGCGCAGACTTGCCGGAAGTCATTTTTGGTCGAGGGTTCAGGGTTTGGGGTTTAGGGTTTAGGGTGCATTCTCAGACATGGGTTTTGCACAGTCGGCGGCGAGGCTTCTGAGAGATTCGCTTTTTGTGTTCTGGTCATGCTTAGGGGGTTCTTGAACAGGATCAATCAGGCCAGCGCAAGAGCACTAACCCTGAAAGGCATGTTCCAAAAACAATCTGCAAGATGTGGATTATTTGATGGACGGAAAGATGTAGACAGAGAAAGCTTGCACAAACAGACATGCCTGCCAACACAGCGTCTTGTCAAAAGCCTGCGAAATCATCTTCTCCTCCTCGCAAGCCTACAGCCCTCAGCTGCTACGGGTCACCCTAAACACTAAACCCTGAACCCTCAACCCTAAACCCCAAGGTCCCCCGTCCCGATACCCCCTGAGACACTGAGGACGCCGAGCACTGGGGTCTGGTCCCCTCCTTGCAGTTCGAGTTCATTTCGGTACGAAGGTTTAGAGGGTTTAGGGCATTTAGAAGGGTTTAGAAGGGTTTAGAAGGGTTTAGAAGGGTTTAGAAGGGTTTAGGGGGGTCAGGGGCACAGGGGTCGCATGGCCTAGCACAGGGTTTGGGTTTTAGAGTTTTGGGGGTTTTTGTCGGCTTGAGTCGGCTTAGCGGAGTCCTGGTGCAGAGTGCGCAGGTGCTGCCCCGAAAAGAAACGTCCCTGAAGCGCTTCGCGGTTTGATCCTTCAAGTACGCTGCGAAAATCATTTGACAACCCTAGGCCTAGACCTCTGAACAGCGCTCGAAACCTTACAGCCCACCCTAAAGACCTAAAGTTCTTGCCGATTGAACTGCATTCCCGAATCAAGCCCAGCATCCAACCACCTGCCTTCTACAGCTCTTTCCTGAAACCCTCTCCAGCGCGCAGACCTCACTAAAGAACTGCATCCAAGGTTGTCGCTGCGAGCTAAGCAAGTGGGCGGAGATGCTTGCCTTGTTTGTTTTGCCTTACTTGGTGCAGTCCTGCAGCAACCGCTAGGCTCCGAAGCGCTCTGAAACCCAAAGCATCCCAGAAACGTGGCCCGCAATCGGTACAACTCTGAAGCCCTCCGGGCTCAGGTCGTCTAAGAACCGCAGATACCTCAATCCTCAACTTCCTGAATTCCTACAAGCATCATATAAGCGGCGTAGAATTTTCAGACTTCAGGAGCCGGGCAACCACACGAACGCATCGAAGCCAAGCATGGAGTGAAGTGAAGCGCCAACCTTTCAGAGATCAAAAGGCGTGCTTGCAAGAGCTGCGTTGCTTTCAAAGGTGGGTGGTGGCACTTGGCTGTGAGCAGGGCTTGCGTTGATTTCGCAGGTGGGTGGTGGCACTTGTGTGGGTTACCTGAGGCCTTGATGGTTGAGCAAGCGGGGGGAATTCCGCACAGGAGAATGTTCAGGTTTTTGTTGTCATTATGCGTGTGCGCGTGTGTTTTTCGTTTTATTTATTGGGGTGTTCCAGCAAATTTGTCTCCATAAACCTCCTAACATCCCGCACACCAACAGCTTAGACCCTGCCAAGCTTCGCCAAGGTCAGAATTCATGTCCCTTGTGTGCCAGATCGCTCCAGCCTTGGAGACTGATGAGGAGGGGACGTCGCTTGGTGCATCTTTTTGTTTAGGGTTTAGGGTTTAGGGTTCAGGTCTTTTGTTGGGGATTTAGGGTTCTGGGTCTCTGGGCGGCCAAGATCAGGGCTTATAGGGTTTACCCGGTAAGTTCCCAGACGCGACGCCATGGCAGCGTGCAGCTTACTAGTATAGGGCATTCACAACTTATTTCTGAGTTTGTCAGCAGACTACTTTTTTAGAAATCAAGGATTGCATTTTCCCATTTGACTAAGAATAAGCGAAGTTGTAGAAGGGAGTGAGTGTTTTAACATCTTTCAGAATGTCAAGCCGAGTTTCCTTCGCAACCACGACGATGCTGTGGGGAGTATGTAGCCTCCTACGCACATTTACGCACATTGGCAAAATGTTGGGAGGTTTTTGGGAAGCATTGAGAAGGCTAATCAAAATGTCCGCGGTTAAGCAGCTTGTTGGGAGGCTTTTGGAGGGTCCCGGCAACCAATGAAAACATGTTGCTCACAGTGTTCTCGTTTCCGTGTGACTTGCGTGTAATGGATTAATCCCATCCTCTTCCCTCGAACACCTACTAGTCTTACTGACTCAGAGATGTCCTGTCTCTGTTCTCCATTATCTCGAAGTATTGTTTCGCAAGGCCGTTATCCTGCCTTCTCTTCGCATTTCCGCAGGGAGACACGCCCTACAAGAATGCGAGTTTTCGCTGGAGAAAGCTATTTAAGGCAGTCCTCTTCAAGACTCATAACAAGATCATCAACCCCATCCTTCCCAACGATTCCATTGAGATATTTGGATATTGGGATTACTGAATGGTCGCCGAAATTATGGTTCGTTTCGGGGTCCTTGTTATAATCAGGCTACCCTAAAAGGGACCATAATGTTGAGAACTGACCAAGTGCCAGCAGGAATTACATTTGGCGAGGCCCATCCCAGGTACACAATCGTAAGCTCGGAATGCAAATTTACACATGAGACAAGCTGCCGAATGACAGCCGTTTGCTTAGCGGGAAAGGCCGACTTGTATGAGCTGGCCCATAGACTACCAAGTTCCAAAAATCAGGTGTAGAAACACTGTGTAAGTTCAAAATGCACGCTCTTCCGTGGAACTCTTGTTTTGTTGTCCACATTAATTATGGGCATTTGAGCATTTGGATTTTGGGTGTATTTCTTTTCTTGCAGTAAAGGGGAGAACCTTTTCCCCTGCCTTTCCAGGGCTTAGGGCTGGAAGGCTTCAGGTCAGGACAGCCTGGAAAGGTTTGGGTGGTTTAGGGCATGAGATCTTGATTCCTGGCATATGTCAGCTAACCATTTGACTCTGTTGTTTCTGCAAAAAGCGTGTCTTGATTGCCCCTCCAAAGCCCCACTGGGTCTTGTAGTGTGTTATTTTATAGAGGTATGTTAGACGCATATCTCGTTTCAACATGTATTGACTCTGCTAGTTTACGGTCAGTAAAAAATTGTTTTAAACACACACACACAGATACGAATGATAAATTCCTCACAATACACGCCGCCAAGGCATAACTCATCGACACTCTCAGGAGTTCAGGGGTCCCAAACTCCTGAGCCTCTTTCTTCCCGGCTCTGGCAGGACCTTCAAGGCCTGTACAACTGGGCACGGGCCCTGGTCTTCAACAGAAGGGGGGGAGGTGGGCTGTCGGGTAGGGTTGCTGGGACTTGCGGGCCCCTGTTGCCTGTGGGCCCTGCAGATCCTTGTTTCAGAAGCACCCTCTGACTCCTTGAGCCCTGTACGCCGGAACCTGACACTTCGAGGTCGATGAGATTCCGCTCTCTCGGCCGAAGCGCAACATCGCCCGGGACTTTGCGGACGGGGCTGGCACCTCAGTCTGCCTTCAAGTATTGACTCAAGAGCCTCTAAAGCTTCGAAGTGGCCTTGAGGATGCTTTGTGGATTAAGCAAGGCACAGCCAAACCCAGCCCACTAAGTCCGAAAAAACCCTCTAAACCTTAACCTACAGCTCTATACGCCCTGCGACCACTTTTTGTGCCCATGAGCCATGAGCAACAACACTGCAACCGCTTGAGGTTCAGAGTTTACCCGGTATATTAAACCCCGAACTGTTGGGTCGCAAGTCGCAGGTTCTGTTCGCCGAGATCGTCAACCACTTCTTCCCGAGGCGGGGTGTCGGGCTTGGGGTTCGGGTTGTCAGACTTTTTGTTGGTTGCACTATGCCTGAGCTGTATGAGCGCATGACGAACCAACAGCGTTTTACTTTTCACCAACTGAAATGCCACAAGCAGCCCTCATGAGAAGCAAAACCTTGATCACATCCGCAAGTATATGGGCTGGAGCATGCTCAACAAAACAGGCTGATTGTGGGGAGCTTCAAGCACATCTTTCTCGCAGGCATGCCCATCAAACGATGCCGCTGTGCAAGCCGTCCCTCCAACCTGGGCTGCATAGCGCTTTGCATGGCGCCTTCAAAGCACTCTTCCTGAAAAAATGACATGCCTGTGTTCCGACGTATTGCACAAGCGGCTGCACCTCACATGAAAGACCAAGTCTGAAGGATCATTTCGGATGTTTTGTTTCGTTTGTGTGAGCTCAAGGCGGCTGAGCTCTTGAAGGAGCATTGAAGGAGCGTGGATCAAATGTGCTCACATCTTTGTCTGGTCATGACAGGTTTCAAACAACACCTTTCAACCCTTGCCCGGAGAGCCTCCATTCTGATTTTGGCCATATGAGCGGTTCCGTTGTCGATGGAAATTCTGTTGACAATACATTTCTCAATTTCTTCGCGCGTTTCGAAGTGCCGGTCTGCACAACAGCTTGCACGATGAGGGCTAGAATCACTCGGCACTCCACTTGATTCCAATGTCACGGCTGACGCACACGACATCCGCAGCAACCAGCTGCATCCTGACTCGAAATCCTCAAGCTCACCCCTGTTGTAAACGCCCATACGCCAGCACCATCAACCATGCTGCTCACAAAGTCTCTTTCGTCATCAATCCTTAAATGGGGATTGAAAGGCCACTTTCTCCTTTGGTGTGCTGAAAGTCATGTGTGCTAGCAGCTAGCACTTTTGTACCTTTGCCGTCCGTCTTGCCACTTCCCGAGTAGTGCAACATACTTCCTAAATGAGTGTAGAGCTCTGTCAACACCACGATAGAACAGTTCGCCTTCAAGTGAGGGCGACTGGCTAGAAGAGCTCGTCCGCTGTCCCCTGAAGTCTCTTCGATTCACTGCTTTTTTTCCACAAAACCCTAAACCTTAAACCCTAATGTGATCGTGGCCCCGGTCTTGTTGACCTCGCAGTTGGTGCCAACACCAAGCAATCAAAGAGTAGCTTCTGCGGAGTTTCAGACTTCGCGTGTAGGATCGTCAGAAGTGGGTTCAGACTGCAATTCCTCCAGCTTGCGGGGTATGTAGAACTTTCTTATAGACCAAGGCCCCCAAGAGGCTTGACCCTGAAGAGCACTGCAAGTCGTTGCGCAGGCTGGTTGAGATGCACAACTACAGCTCGGTCACTTGGAAGCACGTCGAGAAGGATCCTGCACCTCACTGGAGTGAAGGCATATGAGGCTTCAAGTTGACCTTAAGAGGGGTCGGAAGATTTGTGCGGATTTGGGCTGTCATTCTGAAGACTGCGAGACTGCAAGCACCGGAAGAAAAGACAGCCCTGATGTCTCACTGTGGCGGTAGCAGAACCAAGCTTCTCATTCGGCCCTCTACTAACATGGTAGCCCGAACCTAGATTGCCATGTCGGCTGAGGTCGAAGATCCTTATTTCGTCCTCTCACATGCAAATCTGTAACCCTCCTTGATCCCAGGCCAACTCCTACACGCAGAAAATGTACCGCCGTCGGCTTGCGACTGTCGCTTTCAGTGCAGTCCTCTTGAGCAGCTTCAGGGCTGAGGGCCGCGGGATTTGGAGCATAGGGTGGGCGCACGCTGGGGTTTGGGGGTTGAGGTTTAGGGGTTCAGGGCTCAGCTTCGTGATAGTGTACCCTGTGATTGCCCAGTTGCTGGTTGCCTGCTTGTGGAAGTGACGTGTGCACAGCCGCACGTGTCAGGTACAACTGGAATACCCTCAATCAGAAGGCCTGGAAGCACACTGTTTAGCGTTGAGAGCTGGACCCGCACTCCACTCAGCCTGCAGTTGCAGCCCCACAAGGCATAAAAGGGGGCTGATCCTGTGGGGCGCTTTTTACGAAAGCTAAGCGACGAGCGCGCTGTTGGTGTCACGATGTCCCCGCGCCCAGCCCCGCCAAAGCCAAAGTCCCGGAGCTTGACAACCCTGACGTGGTGGAACACCGCCCGTGCAGGGCAACCTGAACCTTCCATCGTCTTCGATCTAGACTAAAGTCCTTGCGCAAGCAGGATCAGTTTACTTGCATGTATGCAGAAGCATGTCTAGGAAGTTTAGGAGCATGCAAAACGAAGCACAAATCACCAAATCCCACCATACAGTATTAGCAGGACTGTAGCTGGCTCTACTCCCTACACACCCGAATCGCTGGCTTTGACAAGAGCAGGTCCTGAAGAAGCTGGGCTACCAGATTCACCAGCAGGCCCCCAATTGCACCAGAGCTGGGGTGCAGTCGCCTGCTTCAGAGAGTAGGGTTCTGGAACACCCGGCACATGAAGTCTTCCGCCGTGTGTTTTGGTCGCTTGCGGGCCTGACAGAATCCACAGCGGCATCGCAAGTGGCCAATCCTGGCCTGCATCCTCTCAGAATCCTCTCAACCCACACGGAGGAAAGTCCTGGAAAACGTGGATCCGAAGTCAAGTCCCTGCCCAAAATCTTAACATCTGAACAAGCAGCTCGAAAGTGGAGAAGCCATGAGCACAACTCCCGGATTCAGGACCTTGAGGATGTGATCAAAGCAGCGCCGGGAGCGGTCGAGCGAGCAGCGACCTTCAGCAACTCTGGGTGATGCGGTGATGCGGTCAGCGGACACGGTGCTGGCTCAAGAAGCTCAAATGCCTCAACTCGATGCCCTGCACCGAGGTCCTCTCGGTGCTCCAGGAAAAAGTTTCGCAGGCAGCTAACCGACAGCTCAAGGCCCTGGCGTTGGGTTTGGATTCAGGGGTGGGTTTTGGAGCGAGTCCTTGGCCTCAGTGCTCTTTATCTTCAGAGGCAAAGCCTCCCAAGAACCCTATAGTCAAGTAGACACGTGTGTGCCTCAGTTCCAGCATCAACCGCCAAGGAGCATCCTTAGCCTAGTTCAACTGCTAAACAATTGGAAGCCCCCCCCCCCCCAATTTGCCGGAGAAAGACCTTAAGATGCCCTCTCAGCAAAAAGACAGCGAACTCTTTTCTACCCGAAGGTGGCCATGCCCAGCCGGCCATCCATTGGAAGCATCTCAAAGGAGTCTGCAGGCCGGACTGGGATTGCGTAGGCTGGTTAGGGTTTTAGGGTTTAGGGTTTAGGGTTTGGGGTTTAGGGTTTGGGGTTTAGGGTTTAGGGTTTAGGGTTTAGGGTTTAGGGCCGTAGTGGGAGCTGCAGGGCTTGAGGGTGGGTGTTTGTCGATGCTGCGGGCGTAATGCACGCGGCCACAAGGCCGCAACCCTTTACAGCCTCAACCGCTTGTAGGGACCCTCACACCTACCCGCGTTGAATCCTCTAAACCCTAAACCCTAAACCCTAAACCCTAAACCCTAAACCCTGAACCCTGAACCCTGAACCCTTAACCCTGAACCCTAAACCCTAAACCCTAAACCTTGAACCCAGGCCCCGGACGCCCCCCGGTGCCGGGCGCAGCCCTGGGCAGCGCTCCGGCCTCGGAGAGAGGGGGCGTCCAGGCCCCCGCCCCGCCTCGGTCCGAGAAGGCGTGGGCAGAGAGTGGAGCCGTATGTGGTCGTATGAGATTGTAGGTGTGCGATTGGGAGTTTACGATAATAACCAATAGTAGGATTCCCTTGTAAGAAGGACCTGAATAAGGTACCCTAACTTCGGAGACCCTCAATTTGCTGAGGTTACAGGCGTTCACGGCTTTCGAGGTTGACAGAGGGAGAAAGGGTTTCGGGATTTAGGGGTGGTTTGGGCGTGTGGGTTACTGGTGTTCTGTTGTGGTGCTTTAGACACTTCTTAGGGCTTGGCTCTTATGGAGCGCAAGAGGCTGGGCCATTGGGGTCAATCCTCGGTCTTCTTCGACTTTCAAAAACGTTTGCAGGACCACTACGAGCCCCTTGAGACTAGCACGCGACCATTGTGCCCCTGAAAACCTGAGTTCCGAAAGGCCAACGTACGTAAGACCCAAAACCAAGAATGCCCTCAAACCAAAAGGCCTCGAACAATTGAAGCCAAACACCTCCCTAAGACGCTACAACCCCTTTAACCCCCTAAGCCTTCGAATGCCTTCTCTCTGCACAGTGCAGGATGCATCCCCTGCGCCAAGACTGCAAAAGCTCGGCCCTTAGTTACTGTGGGGGCTCGGTTGGCGTAGGAGCTCTGGGGACCTCTCCGGGTTAGGTGTGGAGGTTACGAGGCCTTTTACGGGGCCCGAAGTCGAGACCCCAAGCAAGGAACCCCAGAAAGCCCTGCAGGGCCTTAGGGGGGCCCCCAAGAGGTGAATAAAACCTGGACCGTAGACAGGATGCAGCTGGAAGTGGATACCGAGCTGCTCCTGGAGAAGGTTGGGCTTTTTGGCATCTTCTCCATGATTTCGGAGTAGACCCTGTAAGTTGGGATGTTCCCCCTTATACTCGCAGTCCTTAACAAGGACAGGGACTATAGTACTCCGGGGGAACATCCCCTAGACACTATAGAGGGTCACAACATATTGTTTGGTGCTTGGGGTTTTCAGGGCTTCAGAAGCCCCGAAACACCTGTGGCAGACCATTCAACAATCATTTTTTAAGTTTAGGGTTTAGGGTCTGGGGTTAAGTTTCCCTTCCCAAGCCAAAGCAAGCTCAAGACCCAAGAGCCCGAAGGGTCAGAGCCCGGAGTGGCCTGCGATTGCTTGCTGCAGTGCGTTGAGGGGAGCCCAAAGTGTTCTGGAGTCTCGGGTTTAGGGTTTAGGGCGAGGAAAGTTGGAGCAGGGCTTGGATTTTCTCTGGTGTGGGCTCGGTCTCAGGGGTTGGTCAGATGATCTGGGCACTGATTGGCCCTGACCCCACAGCACCCCTCCACCCACCGAAGCCCTTGAACCCCAAACGAAACTCGACTTCCTAGAGGTTCCTGAGCTCCCTGAGCTCCCTGAACTCCCCCAGATGGGCTTCAGACTTAGATCCACTTGAGGAGCAGGCGATTGCCGAGCTCCGTGAGATGGCGGCAGCCTCAGAGCAAGTTTGGAGAGTTTGGGGGTTCAGGTGTTTGTGTCCAGTTTGTTAGGGGAGCAGTGGAGCTCCGCAAGAAGTTTCAGGAGTTCGTTGTGCTCTCGGATCCCTCTGCCCAGCGACGCAGTTCCCGGGTCGCAGCATGCTTCGTGCTGGGGGGGGTTCGGGTTTTCGCGTTTAGGGCTTAGGGTTAGGGTCGGTTGAGGATGTTTCGGGGTTCAGGTGAGATTGGTTATGTTCAAGGTGTTATTAGAGTCTGGAGGCTCAGCGTGTGCTCTGCCACGTCCCCCTGCAGCCCATAAGTCCCCTCAGCTGAGTTCGAAAATATGCCCCTCCACTTAAAGCATCCCAAAACCCAGGACCCCAAGCCCTAAACCCTAAGCCCTAAGCCCTAAACCCTACCTTGAGGTTGGGATCATGACGGAAAAGATCAAGAAGCTGGAGCAACTGGTGGGCTGGGGATGGCTCATGGGGGAGTGGCGAGGGCGGCGAGAGGGGGCCTTCAAGAGGAGTTGAGGCTTTAACCTGAGAGGTGAGGTCTACGGAATTTCTGTTCCTGATCGCAGACTTTAGGGTTTTGGATTGGGAGGCCGAGTGAGCCTCGGCGATTTGCTTTTTGGTATCTTTCTTGCTGCTCTGGTTTGAGGTTTCGGCTAAGGACATCTCAAGAGCTGAGTTGATGGACGATGATTTCGAGCCTGCCAGAAGCACCGATTCACCGAGAACTTGGAGGCATCGAGCTCATGTCTTGGCTGCCAGGTCCGCATCAAAGACTCGAAGATCGAGGCACCAACGGTACCGGATGCAGCTTTCTCTGGCGGCTAGGCTGAGCGGGACACGGTAGCCTAGTCTTCTTTGCCTGAGGCTCGAGATGGCCGCGCAGTCGGGCTACACTTAGCTTAGAACCTGCGAAGGTTACGTACGATTGTAAGATGCACCCCATGCGACCGGAGTGGTAAACCGAAAGCCTGCAAAGCCCCGATAAATTCTCTCGAAACACTTTAAAGGGTTAGCTGCATTCTAAGTATTAGAGCGTTCCAGGGGCCAGGTGTGGGAGATTTTGGGCTCGCTGTCGACTTTATGTTGCAATCTCGGCTGGGCTCGCAGCACTGCGCCTCACGTAACATAGGTAAGGTAATGTACGTGACTCTAGTGTTGCTTGTTTGCTTTTCTTGATTCGGCTGCCTGAGCACTTTCTACATAGATTTCTTTCAGCTGGGATTGCGGTCCCTCAACCAAACCAATGTAATACCAATGTCACATTAGACCAGGAAGCCACCCAATGTTTCAACTGTCAACCCTCAGCCCCTTAACCCTGCAACCTAAAGCCCTTAAATCCTTCTGCGCCCATCTGCTTGGGCCCTCTTCCTGGCCAAAGGGCCAGGGATAGAAAGCCATGGGAGGCAGGATCGAGCGCAAAGGTGAAGGGTCAAGGATGTAAGGGCCCCGAAGTCCGAAGCCCTCAAACTAGTTGACTGTTTCAGCGTCGTCGGTGCAGGATGTACACTGAAGGCTCAGGATTTCGAGCTTGCAGAAAAACATTTGGATGAGAAGAACCCACGGGTTGCAGGCATGGCTCGTAGGGAACGGGGTTTGATCGTCTTGCCGCCGCCCTCGAGTTTGTTTTTTTTCTGCAGCCGGGGGGGTCCTGGTCCAGGCTTGGATACGCTGGATGGCCTGGACACACTGGATGGTCTAGATGGCTTGGACGCTCGGTGCTCCATCAGAAAGTTTACAGTAGCTTCGAGCCCGGGCGCTGAATGTTTGGGAGTAGCCAAGCCGCTCATTACTGCTGTGGGAACATCATTGGAAGCTTTCTTGTATGGAAAGCTACACACATCTGTCGAGGCTGCAGTATTTAACAAGCCCTTTTTGCAAGGAGCCAGAGAGCAAAACCCCTCAGGTAAAGACCTGGTTGAGGAGTCTAGACGGTAGGAGCTTCAAGCCTCGGACTTTTTTTTTTCGGTTGCCAGGCGTTCGGCCTCTGAAGGGTGTCCACTTCGTAAAAAAAAGAGGCAGCTGGCCATCTGGCAAAGTTTCGGGCCTTGCCCTGGCCGTGGCAGTGCACTTAAGGCCTTGGTAGCCCTGATACCCGATATAAACCTTAAGCCTTAAAGCATCAGTACCCTAGTCCCCGACATCCCTCACACCCTCAGATCCCGAAGGACAGCCTCGACCTCGGAGGTCATGTCGCGGAGAAGAGCCGCCTCGAAGCAGTGGTCACTGTTTCGTTTCGGTTCGAAGGTTTCGGCTGTGCCACAATTCATCTAGTTCAGGGATAACCGGTCCAGAATTCAGCTTCATCGGTGGGAGCCAGAAAGTTCTAGAAAGTTCGTGGCTGTAGCTCTGCAGAATCTGAAGCCAATATAGGCCCTAGAGTATGAGCGGGGTCTAGGTGCATTTTGCGACGCAGGTGTAGTTTTGGGGCGTAACCCATAGTTCAACGCCCCAAAGCAACATAAATCCTTCTGAAGCTGACAGCCTCGCACCCAAGCATGACAAACCCTGAACCCCCTCAATCCCAGATCTTCAAACCCCCGAGGCGCCTCGTCTGCCATCGAGGAGGTTGGCTTCGGCCCCCGCCACGACTCGGAGCAGCTGGGCGGCTACTCCGGAGGCTTGGGGGCTGCAGGAGCCTTGACACCTGCCGGCGAATTCGGGGCCCGAGCCTCGGTTGTTTTCAACTGGGGCAGGCGGGTTTCATGCAGTTTGAGGTTGGGGTTTCTGGTTCAGGGTTTAGAGCTTGGGGGGGGGACACAAACAACTGCGGCGTGGGGAAATGAACCTGCCTCTTCAAAGCCCTGATTCTGACACTTGCGGCTCCCCTCCCGCTTGCGGCGTCACGCAGCTCCTTCAGATTCATTGGAGGCATGTTGAGGGTCTAGGTTCGGCTGCTTGGATTTGCTTCTTATGCGCGTCGCGAATGCCTTTCTCCACATGGCCTGGTGTCAGGAATCTTCGTGGTCTCCCGCTGATACCGCATAGTGTAGGATCTGTAGGCATTCCTCGAAAGTCTTCCAGAACCCGTTCAAAGTCGCAGGCGGCCTATTATGGTCGCACCAACGGAAATGGAAAACTGCACATGCGTAGACTGCCGGGACTGCCCAGTGCCGGCAGTGGTCCACGAGGTCCCAAGCACAGGCGTATATTTTGCACCCTTGTGACGTACCCGTGTTGATCGGCTTCAAGATTTGCTCAGAGTGCCGGGCATCCCTGTGTGGACGACAGCTTGGCGGCATTGATTTTCAAAGTTCAAAACCAATCCCGTGCTGAATGGCCCTTGGATGATGCAATGAGAAGATGCTCGGGCTTTTTCTTCTTAACATTGTGTACGGGAACCCTTACATTCTGTTTTCTGTTTTTTAATCTTCGCATGGGCCGTGGACGACTCTCCTTCAGCTCAAGTTCGCCGTAGGATTGCAAACCCGAACGAGGCCGACATGATGGACGACGAAGTCTGGCCCGCATTCGAGGCAATGCACCCGCAGAACCAAGTGTTGCCCATATGGAAAGTCATGCGCCAAAGAGTTGCGAGAGCCCAAACCTAATATTTCTCACCGTCTCCACGCCACGCTTGCAGGACCTGACGCCTTTCGAAGTGGAGCACTTCGTACAAGACTTGCAGGACAGCTGGGGCGTTCGACGGAGCGAGGAATCCGCAACATCTGAAAGGCTGGATAAGGCTGGTCTATCAGAAGTGCAGCTAGTTTTTGCTGCATTTCCGGACTGCCCTCCTATGCTTCAACCCTATCTCCACCAACAGTCTCTCCCCCAACTGCGGTGTTCTTTGCTGCCTTCCCTGGGCGAATGCAGGAATTCAAGCTCGAGAGCGTCGGAGATCCGTTCCTGGGCTCAGCTGCCGTTCAGGGTTGAGAGTTTGGGCCCTTTGGATTTCACCACCCACGACAAGTCACCCTACACTAAGCGTTGAACCACTTAGCTGATAGGGCCCAGCACAACCAAAGGCTAACTTACCCAAATGAAGGTGCGCCCGCCCAATGCTCCCCTTCCCTTTGTGCTTGGAAAGGCGCTGGCTGACGCAGCACGAAAGGGTGGAGAAGTTGAACTGGACGGCACACAACCAGGCGGCTGGCTGCACTGAAGCTCAAGGGTGGGAGAGTACAGACTCTTGAATTCACATGGTGTCTGCATTCTGGAGCTGCAGAAGACTAAGCCCTACATCACGAAGGAGCAAGCTGCTCGCTAATGTGGCTTTGATTGCTACTCCTATTGCTGATATCGCCAGGGCCACGTCTGGGAAAGAGCATGTCATGGATGCTCGTTGCATGCGGTTGGACTTGCCGCTCTTCAAACTGCCAGTGAAAACTTGACATGCACGGTTCGGTAAGGATTGGGCGTCAGGTGCGAAGTTTTTGGTGTCGGCCATCAGAAGGCTCTAATCTCCACACCGTAAAAGCCCTAAACTCTGCAGCACAGTCTGAAGTCTGAAGCCCCCAAGCCCGGGCAATCGCAGCCGAATCCCAACCAGGCCAAAGAGGGCTTAGATGAGTTTGTGGTCGACCAGTTCAACACTCAGGAGAAGGCCAGTAACTCGGTGCTTCATGGTTCTGTATTTGGCAACGGCGGCTTAGGGATTAGGTGGCACCCGGAATTCCCTGAACACTAAACTGCGTAAGCATGACCAAATCCCTACGCCCAACCTATACTCTGAGCCCAAACCTAAACCCTAAGCTTACCGCTGGGTGGGGCTACATAGGCTGAACGTGTCGCAGTGTTTTGTTCCTTTGTTCCAGGTGCCCGTGCTCATCTACGACCTGATGCTCATCGAGGTGGGGATAGCTAAAGACTCGATGATTCCCCAACATCAGCGGCAGCAGTCTTTTCAGCCTGGTAAAGATGTGTTCGGGTTTCTTCGCTTTAAGGGTGTGTACTGTATAGGGCTTCATGTATCGGACCCACGGCCAGGTGTGGAAAGAGCGCATCTGGCCGCTGATCAAGGCTTCGAGAGATTCGTAGAGTTACGACGTGTGCTGGGCCACATGAGGGCCACCATACAAGTAGCAAACGAAGGACTTAAAAAGAGCTAAGTGCACTTTGAGCCCTAAAGAAGGCATTCTTTGGGGCCGCCAGCTCAGGCCAAGATTGCCAAGTTCAGCTCCCTCCGCACGTACATTCCCGTGTACCACGAGGCACGGCTTAGCGTCTCGGAGCCTTTCCGGGTTTATTTGGTCTCATCGCAAAGTGGTTCCCTGATGGCTGGAGGGCGGGATCCCGCTAGATCCGAGGGGCCTACACCCATGTTAGGGTTTGGGCATGCAATTTGTTGGGGACTTCTTGCGATGTCACACGGCTTGCCACGTAGCATCCTACAGTGCCAGTCTGATGCCAGGCGTCGGTTGCCAACCTTCTAGAGATCTGCCTCTACCATCGTACCAGCTGCGAGGAGGCTGGGTTAATGCCCGAGCTTTTGAATCGCGACAACGTTCTGTAGCTTTCAGGGGTTTGAAGACTGAAGCTGTTGGTGGTGTTGTTTCGAGGCTGGTGGGAAATGCGGGACTTTATGTTTTTGGGGCTCTGACTATACGTTAGAACTGGTGAGAAGTTGGTCTTCCATTGGGAACGAACGCCCCACTGGTTCTTGTCCTGCGAAATAACGTAGCCACAACCGGTTGCTTTTGTCTTCTACGAACTCGGCCAGGCAGGCAGCCACCTGCCTCTGCGCCCGTGCGGAGTTATTTCTCAAACTTGGAACCGTCTGACACACCTTCTCCTCTGCGAACAAGACGTTGAGCCGTTGCTCTGCTGCGTGCCACACAGCCGGTGGAAATGGAGCGCATGAATGCTGAAGAGGAATCCAGCTTGTTTCGTGTTAAAGCGGGATATCCACGGTCTTCATTGCAGAACCAAACACCGATGGCCTTCATTGCAGATACGTTCTGCCATTCCAACGACATTCAACTTAGCAGAAAGCAAACAACAAACCAAAGCAAACCAACCAATACACCGGGCGAGCGACAAGCCAGGCTGGAGACGCCCTGGTCGACTTGGTGGACTACTGCGTCCGCAAGCTCAGGCAGCTGGAGACCCCGAACCCAGAACAATCTGGGGTTTGGGGGGCCTCCTTCCCACCCTCCTTCCCCCCCATCCCGCCGCTCCTCATGAGAAGAGCTTCCAGAGGATGCCATGGGAGACATGCAGGTGGCATGAGCTCTTCCTGTCTGAAGCACGTAGAGCTTAGGGTTTTGGCATGTGTTCAGAGTGTTTTCCTGGAGGTACTTGGTCTGCACACCCAACGATGAGCTCGTTCGGCAAGTTGCTTCCGCCAAGGCCAGAAGGGACACAACTAGAGCACTAGGGTTCAGGGTCTCTGGACGCGGCTTGGTATGCATGATCCTTGCAGCTGTCACACCCGACATTCCGAAGTCGTTCACGGCTGTGCTGATGGCTGTGATTGGATCAGAAGGCTTCCACGTGTGCCGGCAGGAATGCACCGAATGGGACAACGTGCGCATGTTGGATGAGCAGTTCGTCGAATGCGAGTTTCAGGCGGCTCGGCATTGCGGCGATGTCTTGCTCTGAAGTACAGTGATCCAATCTGTGGGATGGCATCCCCAGACTTGGGCTTTACGATATTACAGTAGGGGTGCCTCGTTGGGGATTTATTTGGGGAGTCTATTTTTAGGGGTCCCCTATTTTCGCAAACCCCCACTTTAACATTCCTAAGTTGTCCTTGCCCTGCTTGTGGGCCAGATTTGCATGTGCGTGATCTCCATCATCCGCTTTCTCACCGACCACCGCGTGGCGGTGCCCCTGGCGGTGACGACCCGCCTGCTGGAGACCCACGATGTGCGGCCCCCGAGTTCCGAGTACCTGAACCAAACGACTGAAATGAGCATGAATAACCTTTTGCCTTATAATTCAGCTGTCGATGAAGATGAGTAAACAAAAGAAGCGGCCCCGTCCTTGCCCAGATCCTTCTACTGCTGGTCCCTCTCATGGAGAAGGCGGCCCTCTGATTGACTCTAGCCCAGGAAGCCTTTCAGCAGCTCCCAGTCAGACAAACTCTCGAAACCTTCTCGGACCCCTCAGTCCGAGGCCGCATCGAAAGGCCCTCAAAGCATCTCAAAAATATCAACCCTTCAGATCTGAAGCCTTTCCGAACCGTGCAGCAAAGTGCAACCCCAAAGCAGCCCGAAAGCCCCCCACAAACCAATCAGTCCCCGGCCAGGCACCCTGGGTCCGAAGAAATCGCTGCGGCCTAAGTCGGGAAAGGTCAGGGCTGATAGTTCCAGGGTGTGCTGCTCAGGGGTTCTAGCGCGGCTGTGGGAGGGTGTGGGATGAAGGTTGCGGAGTTCATTGTGCCTTCCATCAGTCCGAGAAACCCAAAGCCCGGAATTTTGCCCCCGAAGCTGGAGGCCAGACCCCCCAAAATTTGAGGCATCAATGGACGGATAGAGAAGTTCGAAGAGCACAAGTGGCAGGTCGTGGAGGCCTCCTGAGCGCCGGCAGGGAGAAAGGGTTAGGGTCTAGGGTTTAGGTTTCAGGGTTTAGGGTTTAGGGCTTAGGGTTTAGGGTTTAGGATTCAGGGTTTAGGGTTTAGGGTTTTAGGGTTTAGGTTTTAGGGTTTAGGGCAGTGTTTAGGGTTTAGGGAGGAGGAGGTGGTGGAGATCGAAAGAATCTTGCAAGGAACTATGCCAAACTGTGTAGTACTCTTGGTTACCTTTAACTAAACACAAACTTCACCCGAAGCTTTCGAACCTACGTCTGCAAACCATGGCACAGCAAACGCAGCAAGAGCAGGCGTCATAACTCGGAAACGATGTTGGGCACAGCTCGAAACGCAACGCGATGAAACATCACAGGTGGATGTGCAACATCCCTAAACTTCCCTGCGTGTCGTAAACACTGCTGAAGTAGATATTAACTCCTTGACTGGCACCCAACTTCAAGGCCAGCTTTTACACGGCCTGGAGGAATGAGTCGAGCAAAGGACGCGTTGTGAAAGAACTTGGGCGGCCCTGCCCTGGGCGGCGGTCGCCTGAGTTTCACATGACCATGATGGAGATGTATCTTCGCTAGCATAGAGCAGGGCGCTTCAATTAGCAACTAGGGGGGGGGGGCAGGAGTACTCACATTATATAAGTTATGCTATGCCGCAAGCCAGTGAGCCTCTCAGCGAAGTTCCAGAAGAATATGAATGGAGAGCTGACTACAGAGCCCCGTCACTGGCATGCGTATATCTCTCCACGGTTTGTGCCAAGCCAGGCGGACGATGAAGGCCGACTGCCGAAGTTGCAGTCGCAGGCCCAAGCTGTGGGCATCCACCCTTGAGGTTCCTTGGGATAGCGTGGACCAAAGGGACCCTTTCTTCGTGCTCAGGTTGCAGTCCCACATCCTGCCTCTCAGTACTCCACAGGCTTGTTTACGTCTGACCCACATGCCGTTTTGAAACGATCACCCTCCCAAAAGCCTTGGACGCTGGACCCCTGAACCTAAGTGGTGAAAATCCCAAGCCTTGCTCAAGCTCTAAAGCCTCACCACTTTGGGTTTGGACCCAAGCAAGCCTCCGGCCCACGGTCTGCGCGTCACGAATAGACCAACAGAGGAAAGCTCATGCAACCCGAGCAGCGCAGGTCTGGCTCTCCATCTACAACTTGGTGATGGACGCAGAGTCCGCATACTCAGCAGGGCGATCCCTTCCTTGTTGGGCTGCGAATGTCCGCCATGTCTTGCACCCACTTAGACACGATTCTGATAGAAATAAACAAACAAAACACCTGAGCCGAGACAACCCCTACTTCTGTACCCCACCTCTATCCAGAACCAGGGTTGGCTCCAGGTGCATTTCTCGACGACCGATCTCCTAAAACACCGAAACTCAATTCATTAGAAAGCAGACCGGACTTAGCTGATTCCCAAAGCCCAAAACTTCCCAGCCTCTTGCAGCACAAGCCTGGAGAGGTCCCAGCATCCCAGGTGTCGCGCCCGCTATGAGCTGACCTCATTCCGGAGGGAGAACCTCTTGCGGCTGCGTAGATACATCAACGAGGCAGCTGGGAGAGTTCGGAGTTTAGGGCATTGGGTGCTTAAGAGCCTTCCAGTGGCTGACGGGGAAAAGCGCCACCTGCAAGCCTCGAAGCCCAGCAGGATTCATACTTTATTGTATATGAATATATATATATATATATATATATATATATATACATATATATATATGTACATATATATATATATACATATAATGTAATATAATGAAATATAACATAAGGTAATTAGGTTTGGGCTGGAGGGTTGCGAGTGTCAGGTAGTGGTCGACCAGCTGCCTCCACTCACGAACCTGCACCGAGCTTTGGAGGCCAGACTCCGGGAACTGTCAATGTCTGAGTGCACACACAGACAGACACTTCGTAGCTACAAAACCCCTCAGCCTCAGCCCCCCCCAAGAAGAGCTCCCTCTCTCAACCCTCTAAAGTCCTCCCAAAAGCCACCCAAAGTCCCAAAGCCTAAACGAGTCCCTCCCAAAGAAGCTAACACCTCGGCTCTCCGGCTCAGGAGCTCTCCATCTCCGGGCAGTTCACGGGTGTTGGGGACGTGGTCAGCACCTCGGGGGTTTTCCCAGCTTTCTTGCCCACGGAGAGTCTGTGCCATTGCGACGGAAACACTCGGTTTTACCGGCAGTTGTTGCGGGAAACATGTACAATGTCCCCCTCTGTCTTTGGAGTGATTACTTTGTTGTCGCCGTCATCTTCAAGAAGGCTGAGGGCTTCGAAGGGAGTTCCGACGGCTTGAACTTAGGGCTGATGCTTCTACGATGAGTGGTGAAAGTGACAGCTCCGGCTCCTCAAGAGAAGCTGCATCAGATGGGGATTCCACGGTACCCCGATCCCGCCCTGAACCCTAAAAGCCCAAACCCTGAACCCTATAATCCTGAAACACTAACCTGGGAACTCTCAGCCGAGGCTCCCACGCCCTTCGTCGTCGAGCTCGTGGCAGAGGAGTGGTCTTGGAAACTAAGTGTTTCAAGGTCCAATGAAGCTGGTGTTCAGGGTCTCTTCAGGGTTGCTGAGGGCACCGGGAGACCTCCTACTGTAGTCAGTTCTTCAGGTGGGTTGGCATATTTTAGGGCATCTGACCTCGTAAATCCCTAAACCCTCACAGAGCATCAAATTGCTGTTGAGAGGAGTAATCAACCATGCGGACATTGTTTGCGTAAAACTTGGCCGTTGACCCGGTTTTACTCACAGACGGAGGGACAATGCTTGTTGCCGCAGAAGCAGGAATAATGGTCAGTTGAGATCATTGCGGAACCACTATTTAGACATGCACACTTACGCCCAAGCAGGGCTGCACGTAGTGCTACCAACATGACTAGAAGTGGCCCTACCGATGCAGTGTGCACCTTTGACAGCATGATGGGCAACGGCACCTGTTTTAAATGGCCTGAGAGGTTCTTCTGAGTGGACCCCACCCGAAGTCTTAAGCTTCCCTAAGAAGCCCCCTACGGTGGGTCTCCGTCGGTTGTAGCTCCCACTCCCGCACCGGCGGGTTGCAGGCGAGGGAAGCGATCGTTCGCACCTATGAGGACCGCCAGTGGCCGTCCATCAGGGGGTTTCGGAACTGTAGGGTTTAGGGCTAAGCAGTTGCTCAGCAACCTAGATGCACATCTTCATTTTGGATTAGGGCTTGAAGGGACTGGTAAGAATACTAGTAGTGATCACAACCCAGTGCCACATGCGCGTCTTTGTCGTGTTCGCGTGCATGCTCCGCCCTGAAAACATGCTTCATGGAGAACACGGCACCTGAGCAAGCCGCCGCCCAGGGCCGATGGCAGGAAGTGGCAGACCAACAGTCGGCGGCCCAGCGGCCCTTAAACCCAGGCTCCAGTAGCGATGCGGTCGTAAATGTCGTACTTCGAATCTAACCAACCCCCATTCGGGCCTTGGATATGCCGCTTCGCATAGCGGAGGTCCTTCAAATTCCATGAAATCACAGTCCAGAGCATGGTAAGTTTGAAGGGGCTGAGGTCAGACTGCTGTGACTCAAAAGTTACGCATCCCCATCAACTTCAACTGCTGTAGTGACACCAGGCTGCAGACGGTCTTTGTGAAGGAGACCCCGGATGAGCTGAAAAGGCGGAAGGGATCGGGGTTAGCTTTATGATAACAAGAAGGTAGGGGCCTAAAGGGCGGGGTCGCGGAAGACCTTGCTATGAGTGCATGCGGGTTCGTAGGGTTTCTGTTTCGGGCAGCTTCACAGCAGCTTCGAACCTCACACAGTTGCAGAGCCTTTGTGTCAGGAAAGTCTGCAAAACCCAGAGCTTCTGAAAAAGCTCTTTGCAACAGAATGTACCGGCTAAAACGCCTCCTCACTAAACATATATATATATATATATGTGTGTATATATTTTCCCCCAAACAGTCTACTGTTGGGGTTGAAAATTCATTTAAGTATTGCAGAATTGCCGACATTCTGAGGACTGATGCCGGGTTCCTGGGCTCCTTGTCTCCCTTTGTCTCCCTTCATGTGGGTGGCTTTGTCGGGTTGCTGTGCTCGTCGCCTCCCTTCGTCTCCCTTTGTCTCCCGTCGTCTCCACTGTTTCTTTGACGTGCCTTTTACTGTTTGGGGTCTTCGGTGGTGCAAGTTTGTGTTTTTTTATTGAGAGGGAGGGAGAGAGAGAGAGAGAGAGAGAGAGAGAGCGAGAGCGAGAGTGAGAGAGAGAGAGAGCTTGAAAAAAGTGTGTGAGTCCGAACTTCACCAGTCGGACGGAGCTGAGTCACTTGGGCGCGCCTGTGCGCGCGGAGGGTCCTTTGGGCCCTTCAAGCCCCGTAGAAGAAGAAGAGAGCTTGAAACAAATCAGTACAATGAAGTTATCGTTGGCCTACTAAAAAGGCTTACCAGAACACCTCACGTTCGATGAGGCTTCGGATCTGTATACTTGATTTCGTTTTCACAGCCTAGTCTGCGGTCCCTGTTATTCCCCTTTTGCAGATCTAAAGCCTTCAACCATAAACCTGGAACCTTAACTGTAGAAAAAGCCGTTGATCCCTATCCTCTGAGGGCCCAAATTCTAAACCCGAGCAGACGCCGGAAGCAAAAAGCCTGCCATGTTCACAGGCTCACCAACATGATCTCCATCCCAAAGGAGCTCTTCGATGACGAAGGCGGGCGCCTGAGTTAAGGCTTCTGCAGCTTCTGGAAGGTTTGGACATGTTTCCGGACCCAAGGCTTCAGAGCTTTCAGGCTTTCACCTTCGTGCTTGAGGCTGAAGGTTTCCTAGGATTTGCGGCCTTGCACAGGCCATGTTCAGGAAAGTTG